GAGGAGCAGACGGAGTTGCTAACGCTGGGCATAGAGGATCTCGCGAAGCTCCTTGGAGGCAACAAAGTAGAGGAAGTCAAGGGCACTGGGTTTGAGTCACAATACAAGGGCGTGATTGACGCGGTGAAGCTGGCGACCAACGGTACAGTCAAGGTGTTCCGTGTTGAGCTGGAAGGCACGCGGGCAGAGTACTACGTTGTAGGTGTGGACGAGAAAGGAGGCAGGATTGTAGGGCTTAAAGCACTGGCTATCGAGTCGTAGTGGGGGGGGGGGGCGGTAGGGACCGGGCATATACTTAGCACAAAGCGAACGTGATGGGCAAGCCAGCAAAGGCGCGAGGGTCATTGCGCGAATAAAGCCGATTGAAACGTCGTAGTGGCTGGGATGGCGAGGTGGATATGCAGCGGTAGGGATGCTAGGTAGTGGAGCATACCGTTCACAGAGGCGACGATCAAGATGGTGTTTTATTGGAAAAACTTGTGTACATGACGTGTGTGCAGCCGAGTAGCCCAGGCTTGGAGAGGAGGCTGGCTGGCTGGCGTGGTGTTGACAAGTCTTTGGGAACGGGACTTGGTCGACGGTACCGTGGGCAGTGATTAAAAGCCGAGCCAGACAGGTATTTCGGGGCATGGGGCAGGCAGGCTCAGCCTTGCGGTACTGGGGATGTGACATGGGCGCATTGATTGGCCGGCTGGGGTGACGGGATTGCGCCAATCACGGGTAAGCCACGGGCGGAGGTGGCAGCGTCGGCAGAGTCCAGAAGCGCGTGGGTGGTGCTGCGCGTTTACGAGCTTTCATTTCGGATACACCCTAGCTCAAGCCTCGCGCGCCTCGACGGCAAGCCCGCAGACGGACACACAGACAGGCAGACAGGCAGACAGACAGATGTCAGGTTCAAAAAAAGAGAGGACGATAATGGGTGGGGATGACGACATGTGCAAAGAGCACGTCTTGTTTCGGCATGTCAACTGTTTGGTCCAGGCAGCGTCCATGTCGTGGGCAGGACTGCCAGCTGGTCAAAGAGCCGTAACAGAGCTGCGTCGGGGAGGCGAGCAGGACGGGGGAGGATCATAAAAAGACGAGCTAGATCGCCACGCTATTTGCGGCAACGATACGGTGGTGAAGCACCAGCGCGCGATAAGAGAGGGGGGGTGGGCATGGACACTGACATGCAGCCAGCCAGCCTCAACCGACGCCGGCCACAAAGGGTTGAAGGCATTACACCTCGACTTGGACTGCACATCTGTGGTAGCGTGCCAGTGGTTTACATACTCTAGAGGCCGTCGCTGCTGGGGCTGGGAGTTTCGCTGATTATATGTGGTGCGACGCGTAATGGGTTTGGCGATGATCCCCAGGCTATTGAAGAGGGTAAAGCAAAGATGGCATGGCGCTCTTCCTGTGCGTACCGCGTGCAGCAACGTTTCTGTAGAAACAGCAGGCTGCGCCCATGGACGAGGCTGCAGAACGGTCGTGAAAAGGAAAAAAAAGAGCAGCGCAAGCGATTGCGAGGCCGTCAACACTGTCATGGCGGCGACGGTTGCAGCCGAGCCTGTGGTTGCTGTCGCGGTCGTCGTCGTAGTCGTCAATGTCGCGAGAGACGGAAAAGGATAGCGAAGCATGAAATCGCAATTTAGACAGCGAGGCACTGCCCCGGCTCCACCACGGGGCGCCAGGGCAGGGCTGCTCACGACTTGTGTTGAAACGTGCCGGCCAATGTCATGCCTCTGATGTTCGCCGCATGCAAGCGCCCTGTCTGGCTGTCTCTACTATGCCTGCGCCGGCGCCGTCGTCGTCGTCGTCTCCTCTGTCTCCAGGTGGAGCCGGAGTGGGTACCAAATTCAGGAACACTCGACGCCCGAGCTCTCCCAACCATCTTGCCACTCTTTGCCCACGGCGCCCGCCGCTCTGCCTTTCTCTGCACCCGCCCCTCGTCCATTGATTCCCATCCCGTTTACGACGCACTTTTGCTTTATCCCACACGCCCACTGCTGCTGACTGCCCATCATCTGCATCTTCGATTTAGCGCCCGGCTTTTCTGTCTCTTGCGTCACTTGTTCTTGCCCGTTGAAAGCCGCCAAGCTTTTTCGACGCACGCGTTCCTGGCCCATCGCCCTTATCCCGGCCGCCTCCCCCCCTCCCAGTCTGGGCCAGGAGCCATTCGACTTCCCCTTGAATCTCCATCTCCCTTTTCTCCTGCCTCACGACACGACACCAGCTGCGGTTCCCAGCTGTCTTTTTTGCTCGCCGCCTTTGCACGCCCTGCCTCTACCCGACAATAAGCCCTGCAAACAGGAGTGGAGGATTCCTTTGTTTTCCACCGCCAGTCGTGTGTCCTCGCAGCCAGCAACTCTTTTTGGAATTCCATCCGCCACCTGAATACCGGCCAATTCGTGCTTGCGACACTCGTTTCACCCAGCAACAACAAATATTATTCATTCCGCCTCCTGTCTCGCCTACATCACTTGGCCTCTGGTCTGCCACGGATATCTGAATAATCAGATAGCTTCACCGTCCACTATCGCTTATCGCACACGCTCGCTCACTCTCTCACGAACGCCATGATGCCCCAATCACCAAGGGGAGAAGGCCCTCCCCACCTCCGCCTTAACTCGGGGAGCCAACAGCCCAATACTGACGACCTCCCCACACCGTCGGTGCGACCAAGCACTTCGCGAACAAACACCGCCCGCTCGTTAACACAGCCCATCCGCCCTGCAACTTCTCAGAGCGTCGGCGCGCCCCATGTCTATGCCAACGCTTCCGTTGCAGAGTCTGCTGAGATGCTACTACCGCCTGGAAGACTACGACCCAGATCCTATCGGGACGAGTCCCCGCTACAGTCTCCTTCAGGGCTGTCGTCGAGGCGTACGAGCTGGAGTTCAGACTTTACCGGAGCGCCCTTCGCTTCGCCCTTTGACGACTCGAGAGCCCCATCCCGCGCTGGCAGTGAGGACGATCTGAATACGCAAACCGTATCTGAAAAGTTCAACATTCTGCCCTCTGCCGGACTTTTGCTTTTCCCTGAAGACGTTGAAAAAGACGATTACCTGCATAACCCCGATCCCAACGACAAGGACAAGAGGGACTGCGACGTCTTCACCCGCAGAGGAATAGTCAACGTCGGCGGTCTCGCAATTCTTGCTCTTGGCATTCTCATGCTTTTCGTCGGTTACCCGATTCTGTACGTTCCCGATTCGGATACATTACACCTTGGCGATACTGACCTGTTTTTACTAGGACCTTTGTTGAAAAAGCCACAGCACCAGAACGGACGCCATGCTCAGGCAACCCGTTGTGTATACCGGGCAAGCAAGAAGAGCCACTACTCAAGAACATTCGCACAGGCCTCATCGACCCGGACACACCCAAGGAAGCCATGACCCGCATTGGCGCCAACGGCGAGAAACAAGTTTTGGTCTTCTCCGATGAATTCAACACCGATGGTCGCAGTTTTTACGATGGTGACGACCCGTATTTCCAAGCCGTGGACATCTGGTATGGCGCAACTATGGATTTGGAGGTAAGTTTTGTTGAACTCCTTGGCGTCTCAGCGGCACTAACGTTTTCCAGTGGTACGACCCCGATCAGGCTTTCACTAAAGACGGTACTCTGAACCTCAGGTTCTCGGCGGAGCCTAGCCACGGTCTCGATTACCGCTCCGGTATGGTCCAGTCATGGAACAAACTCTGCTACAAGGGTGGTCACCTTGAGGCCAGCATCTCGCTCCCAGGACGCGGCAATGTTAGTGGTTTCTGGCCCGGTTTTTGGACCATGGGTAACCTTGCCCGTCCTGGTTATCTGGCTTCTACAGAGGGCTTGTGGCCGTACAGTTATCATGATGAGTGCGATGTTGGTATCACACCAAACCAAAGCTCATACGACGGTCTCAGCTACTTGCCTGGAATGAAGTTGCCCGCTTGCACATGCAAGGGAGAGGATCACCCATCTCCTGGCAAATCTCGTAGTGCACCGGAAATTGATGCCCTCGAAGGTTCAGTTCATTTCCTCGGCCCCGGAGAGAGCAATGCCGTCGGTGTCGTTTCTCAGTCCTTCCAAGCTGCGCCTTTCGACATTTGGTACCAACCTGACTACGGTAATGATGGCACTTTCTAGACCCTTTTGTCTTTGACTAACTTGAGGCAGACTACATGGAAGTCTACGACCTGACGGTTACTAGCATGAACGCCTACAAGGGTGGCCCTTTCCAACAAGCTATTTCTGGTTTGACTAACTTGAACAACGACTGGTATGACGGCAAGCAATACCAGACTTATTCCTTCGAATACAAGACCGGATCCGATGGCTTCATTACTTGGTATGTTGGTGAAGACAAGACCTGGACTATGAACGCCCCGTCCGTTCGCCCCAACGGCAACATCGGCACACGTACCATCCCTGAGGAACCTCTGTCGATCATTGCCAATTTTGGAATGTCGAACAGTTTCGCAGCCATCAACCTGGAAGAAATTGCCAAGGACCTTCCCGCTACTATGCGAGTAGACTACATCCGCATCTACCAGCCAGAGGACAACCAGATCGTTACTTGCGATCCCGAGGGCTACCCTACTACCGATTATATCAAGAAGCACCCCGCAGCTTATATGAATCCTAACCTTACCAACTGGTGAGTCGCAATATTACCACGAATTGGGAGCACTACTAACATACTCTAGGAAATCTACTCCATACGATTGGCCCAAGAACTCGTTCATGGACGACTGCCAGTCATGAGCCCATGGCCTTTCCGGGAGAGGGACTGCCGGATCTCGGTCCCCAACACATTTTTCCTTTATGTCGACTACCTAACGTGGCCACGCCAGACGAACATACCCGCACAAATGGATTGCATTGCAAAAGCACGTTTATAGACCACTTCGTTTTTCGATTTCTTTGCAAGGCCTGGGCATTTTGCACGGACCCTGGGGCGTTTTATCTAGGATTCCATCTTATCGCCCAACCACACACGGACAGAAATTCTACTGGCATATGCACGTTGTACGATTCCCTGTTTGGGGTCAACATTGCCCGTGCTTTTGCCATGTCAGTTCTCGTTCACCGGCTGCGACGGATTGGCTCTTGGTCCATGTATCGGAACAATACGGCACTTTGTAACATCCTCAACAATGCGCCTTTGTACATTACAGCATATGACTCATCATACATGGCCTGTATCAAGCATCTTGCGAGTTTTGGAGCCCGTTCGTCCTTTTTCCTTGAACCTGGGGTTGGAAGGAGTTGCTGGACACCGGTACCGATCTCGATCATCCCTTATCTATTATTTGCTTCTTCTCTGCCACTTGTAATGCCTCGACACTTGTTCCACCGCTTTTTTGATTTTTTTCCTGCTTTCGATCAGATATCACGCATATGGAAACAACAGCAATTGCTCAATGCTGCAAGCGACACGTGGTGAGGAGGGATTTCTTCTAAGGTTCATCTTCATATCTTTGTTTTTTGCTTTTTCTTTGGTTGGATCTCAATCATTGTGCATGGTTTGAGCTTGGGAGTAATCAAGGACAAACAATGGAAAGGGGGGTTGACGATGGAATGAAGGCGTGCTTGAATACTTGAAGCGATTTTGTAATGTATAGCTGAAGGGGAGGATGGGGTAGGAGGAGGAGCGATACTAGATTGTGTGAGCTGGGATGAGTTGAACTATGTAGCATATAGGACGAAGCTGAAGAAGCAGAGGACGAATACAATTGGAGACAAATAGACAGAAAGAGTTATCCATGAGCATAGTTGTTCTCGTTTTCCCCCTCCTTCAGACATGTTTTGCAATGAAGAGAAACGTATATGTAGAACTAGACGTGTTAAGGATCTATATGCTTTTTTGACGTTTTCAAACATGCATTTCTTTCTTTCTTTCTTTCCAAATGCTGCAGTACAAGTTGGAACACGCTACGTAGCAGGGGGTGGGATGTGAATTGTAGTTGGATTAAACCGCTGTCCAAAGGGGAAAAAATAAATAAGCGAAATGCATGTAAGAATATAGCACGGGGGGTGCTGCATTGGGACGGAACTGGGGGGTTTGTCAGCCGATAATATGCATGTATGCGGCGTATGTTGCCCAACTTCACTTGAAAAATCATGTGTGATAGTAATTTGATTTCAATATTTTTTTTCGCTTATAAACTGCTCGATAGAAGAGAGAGAGAGAGAGAAAACACATGTGTGTAATATTCTAGTTAAGAATTTCTACGTTGAAGCACAATGCCACCGCAAAAAAGGTTTTCTTTAAACAGAGACTTTCCTAAAGGCCAACGTCTTTCTGGGATCAGGCATGGATTGCTTTCCGATTTCCATTTGGGGATAACGTTCCGTCTCGCCGTTTGGCATCTTGACGTCGTACTCGAGGATGAGGCGGGCGACGATCATTTTGATTTCGTTGGCGGCGAAGAAGCGGCCTGGGCAGGCGTGTCGTCCGTAGCCAAAGGAGAGGTTCTCTTCGTTAGTGGTGACGAATTGATTGCGGGCAATGTCGCTGGCTTTACCCGAGGAACGCGCGTTGTAGGCGCGGAGTCCGTCAAAGGTGTCGGAGGAGGGGTAGACGGATTCGTCGGTGTGGATGGCGGCTGAGGGGACTTCGATGAGGACGCCTGGAGGGATGTACTGGCCGTTGCTGAGGGTGATGCCTTTGAGTGTGCGGCGGGTGAAGGAGGCTGTAGAGAAAAGAAAACAAATTAGCATTGAAGTGTTTCTTTCCCTGAGGTTTTTTTGTCTTCCGGAGGATAAATGATAGGTGTCGTGAGTGATTTTACTTACTGATACCGGGAGGGTAAAGTCGCATAACCTCCTTCATGTAGCTATCTAGCTTCACCATTTGCTGGAGTGCGCGGAACGTAATGATACCATCATGCTCAGCCATGGCATTGCGGATTTCCTCTCGAAGCGACTCAATGTATTCAGGTGTAACAGCAAGAGTGTAGAGGATATTTGTGGCGGTCATGGTGGTCGTGTGGATAGCGGCAAAGATAATCGCAAGTTGGTATTTGGCGAGCACCGCCACAGACTCCTTGCCATCACTTCGGTTGATCATCCACTGCAGCATATCGTCTGGCTCCTGCCAATTGGGATCTTGGGCTTTAGCAGCTAGTCGCTCGGCGACAAGAGGCTGCAGGATTTTCTCGGCTTGCTTCTCACGGTTGCGAAGGGCAATAAGTTCTGGTGTGCGTGACGCTAGGAAGGGCTTTAGCCACGGGCGGAGCTTTTTGATTCCGTTAACAGCATTGATGAGGTCCACAGTGTAATTGCATGCAGCGTCAAGGTACTCGGGATCCTGAGATAGCTCTGGGCCAACAAAAATGCGACCCGAGACCTTGGCAACGACGGTGACTAGCTTTGCGTTGATATTGACTTCAGTCCAGTCATCGCATGGTGGCATATATTCTCTTAGCGCGGCATCGACGTCTTGACAGATGATTGGATTCAATCGAGCTGTGATGGTGGTCAGCAAAAACTAGCTCGTATGTCATGGTGCTTTTTTTGCCTTGAAATCTTACGTAGTGCTGAAGTAAGTTCGCTCTTGACCACATGGATGGCCGTACTACCCTCGGTTTGCAGTCTTGTGTATTTGACTTCCATATCCTACCAGATGAAGTCAGTAAGATTATTCTATTCCAATACAAGGTATATTTTCAGCGCACATTCTCTATGGCCTTTGGAAAGCTGAGGACATCGTCGGGGATCTTCCGAAGCTCTGGCAGCAAACTTCGGGGCACAATGACGTTTTCTTGGCCTGCAGAAGGTGTAAGCAATGATCTGAATATTTGCTTTTAGGAAGGGGGTCAACCTACCATTCTCATTGATAAGTCTGAAAACGCTATCTTTGAACTGATCATGTGGTCAGCAGATGGGTTTTTGGCGAAAGATGGAATGCGTTGTACATTGTGGTACCCATCTCGATAGAGCTTTTTTGCTGATGCTATGAATGCTTGCCGTGCCTTCTCACCCCCGTCCGGGCTAGCGGTAGGCAGTTTCCCAAGTTGGGCCTTGTTCTGGAGTTTGGGGAGCAAGACACATGCGGCAAAAATCACAGCAGCTATGGCGGTTGTCTGCAGCGTGTGCACTATCTGCGCAACGATCTGCGGGTCCATGTTGGTAGGGGACGTCGTAGGTGATTGTGCTGAAGTTGGGAGTGAATTATCTATGGAGGGGAGATGCAAGATATAGGAGACCCCTCTAAGCGATCCCCCGGCTTTATCGCTGTGCATTAAGCTACTCGCGTGGGCCGCGGCCCTGAGAAGAGAGGAGCGGCCATCCCCGAGTAAGTATACGGTGTATACGACGGCAGACACGGCCGATGCGGCTTGTGTTTGGACATGTTCTAGGGTCTTGGCGAGAGATCTGCAGACAGTCTCCACGACGGCTTTTTTCCACTGGCACAGCCGTGGTCATGACCGACTCCACTACTCGGTTTCGTGCCTGCACGATCCAATCAAGTTGCTCGGAATACGTTCAGGGATTCACAGTAATGTAACCGTGTCGGTGTACTTCGTTGGACTTGATATGGTGGCGAAGCTGTTCTTGGTCACTGCCCAGACGTTGGTCAAAGCAAAGATTAGCAAACTGGTAGATTTACTGGCACATGCTCGGTGCACATGAATGCTGGCACCGCTGGTGAGACTGGCGGCCTAGCAAATGCAAAGTCAGCATCAGCAGCGAGACGACAAGAGAGTGGAGAGAGTGTCTGCGGCTCAAGCCACTTATTCATCTAATGAGCTCGGCTAATGAATCTTACAGTGGGGATGCTTCATCAGGGACCAGCATCCTCTAAGCGCAGTCAGGAGGTGCATGACGCCCATACAAGTCCAAATCCTCGTCATAACAAAACCCGCTTTCCTCGCCAGCCACTAGAACTTGTTATTGCCGTAGCACAGTGCTCAGCGGATGGTACACTTACGGTGGTCCACGGCATGTTTGTCAAATTCAGGGCACCATCGTCGCGTGGCTAATTTGTCCTTACACGACGGCGTGTGCTTAATCCACATTTGATTAGGCCGCCACTCCTCGTCTCCAATCAAATATCCATGTCGACTCGGGAATCTTGCATCCATTTTACACAACGGCCAGCCACCTCGCATTCGGTAAGCTTTCACGCTAACAACTCCAATCTGAGCTGCATATCATCTCGCTGCTGGCAACTTTCTTTTGTTGCGTCTTACCCCTTGAACACATACGTTAGCATGTTGCAGTATCTCAACGCCTATGCATGTATGGCAGGGAGACGAGTCGGTGTCTTGAATCATTCCGAATATTCGCATTTGTGAGGTAGATACAACTCATGTTGCACAGCCAAAATATCGCTCTGTTCCATCATCATCATCATCATTAGTGCGCGGGGTCGCACCTTTTCGCGTTAGCATCGACACTAGCACTAGCAGAGCGGATGGCGCAGCAAAGACATTTTGTGCATTGAACGGTCGGTTACGCGTACAGCGACTGTCTTTACTGGCCTGTATATCTACCGCTCTAACCGACCAGCCTTTGGGAATACGTGGACAATTGCTGTCTCCAGCAACGGGATAATGTCGTGCGTTGAAGGCCGTATAAGAGCTCGATAGCAGACGGTACACGTCCGCCCTACAACTTCTCAGCTAGTACCATGGGTCCTGCAATCTCGTCTCTCTTCTCTTTTCCGCTGATGACTTCAACAATCGTGAGCGCAAACAGCATCGCAGTGCCCGGTCTGTATACAGAACGTCAGCAAACTTCCTCGGTGCTTCAAGGGAGGCCTTATGTTACCCGCGACTCGTGATGACCTTTCCATCCACGACCAGTCGATCTTCACTGTACTGCCAGCCCCCAACTTTGATTTCTTCTGCCACACTCGGGTGACTGGTGACCCTTTTCTTCTCTTTGTCAAACTTCTTCGTTGAAGCGACTAGTGCAGTAGTCGCTGCACAGATTGCAGCAACCCACTTCCCAGCCTGTTGGAAGTCATGAATTAGTTTCAAAACGGCATCGCTCTCGCAAAAGGTCTTCGATCCCGGTCCGCCCCCAGGTAGAATGAGCACGTCAAAGTGCTCATGAGCAGGTTGCAAAGGGACAGAGTTGAGATTCGAGTAGTCAGGTACAATGCGGATATTACGTGACATGCTAGAACAGGTCCTCAACTTGTTAGTAAACTCGGATGCTGTTCATCTATCGAGTCGTGACTGACTGGGCATATGCTTCGTTTTGGAGCGATACACCTACACTCTTGACTTCGAATCCCGCTCGGGTCAACACTGGAACCATGTGTCAGCGTCTGAGCCCAGCTTCGTCCTCAGTCGCCTGCTGTCGGCATCGCACAGCCATGGCTCCGTACATACCATCATAAGGAGTGACAAACTCAATCTCTTCAGATCCATCTGCAACAAGGATCAAGGCTTTGGGCATCTTGGCTGATGTGGCTGAGTTTTGCGGTATCTGAAAGTGTAGTTGAAAAAGGCTCAGCTAAGCGTGGACCTGGGTATGCTGACATCCTGATGGATGACGGAAGGGTCGGCCCACGGGAACCAGTAGACTCTCGGCAACGACAAGCCGGGTAACGGACCAACGGCACCTTCCAACCGTGCCTTCTTCCTCCACTACAAACACTGACCAATGCGTTACGCGATCAATTGTACGTCTCTCAATGGCATCCAAAGAAGATTAAGGCACAACTCTTAGAAATGCGCAGTCAAGCTTGTCAATACAAATAGCATTCGCTTCTTGCTGCGGAATGATCGCCTACTAAAACCATCAAGGATATTAGACAAAATGCCAAAAAAAACATCATATATACATCCGCCCAGTGTGCTATATCCAGTTACATAACCCGAGTTGTCCTGATTCGCCCCCATACAAAGAGAGCGTTGTTTACCCCATCCCAGTGTCATTGATACCACAACATGCAGACATGCATCTTGCATGCATTGCGGATCCCAGGATATGTCTCGTGAGCTCATGTAGTGGAAAAATGGTCGTCTCAAAGATATGATGCCAATGGATACAAACAGGCAGCCCTTATCCACCTCTATCCAACATCTTTCTCTCCTTTGTGAGACATTAGAGCGGTGTACAGCCTCATGGAGCGCCTGCCTCCTCCATCTGCTGACCCTTTGAAAACAGAAAACAAAAGCAAACAGGGTATGTCAGAAAACAAAAAGCGAGGCCATGTCTATCGTTGCAATACATTGCATTGCCAAAGGCTGAGGTATCAAAGGCAAATGAAAGACATTCAAAAGACGAGCAAATGGCTAAAATGGGAGCCTGGCTGTTCAAAACTCCAAACACCAAGGCCATTATTGTAAAGCAAAGCAGTGCGGGTCGTAATCAGTCCCGAGGGATGCCAGGATGAATGTTCGGCGTTGGTCCCAAGTGGGGCTATAGAGATGTATGCAAGAAAATTTGCCGTAATCACAAGCTCATGGTAAGCCATTCCTACACGGAATTTGTTAGTAAAAAAAAGACATATCAATGTGGACACAATGTGTACATACCCATTCAGCAGGACCGGATGACTGCAGACCCTGGCCCATTGCGCCCATGGGAAGAGCACCAAGGCTTTGTCCTGGGAAGGGACTGGAAGTTGCAATGGCAGTATCTTTTCTGCGCAACGGCGCCCTTCCATTAGTGTCGTCCGCGTCAGCCATTTCCAATTCTTGTGACTCGCTCTTGCTCTGACCACGGTTTCGCTTGGGTGCAACAGCGACACCGCGCGTTTGTGTCAAAGTTACGGAGCTATGGGACTTTGGTGGGCCCGGAGCAATGGGAACTACACTGCTTGGTTTGGACGAAGTCGGTGTGGTAGCAGAGGACAAATTGCTGGAGCCTCCGCCGGCTGAGCCAGTGGATTTTGGAGACTCCGAATCAGCCGCCTTGTGCGACGTGGGCGTCGTGACTGGTGTGTGCGCAATGGAATTCTTACGGGAAGATTTCTTTGACGAGCGTGTGGATGCCGTACCCACTGGTGCGTTGCCACTACCGCGATTGCGCTTCTTGATGACATCGGTCTTCAGCGATAAAGGCCGGACCACGCCGTGCAGCTTCAAAAACAGGCCGCATGCATTGCAAAGTGGGTGCCCTTCGGGGTTACGGCGCCACAGCGGCGTTGTTTGGGTGAAGCAATTGGTGCAAGTCGTCGGAGCACCACCTTCGCCTTGTTTTGTTCCACCAGGACTCTGAGGTCGCGACGGAGCCGCAGAGTTGAAGCCAGACTCTGGAGGTGAGTTTGGTGATGACACGAGGCCGTGCATGCCCTGATGCATCATTCCAGCTGCATTCGGGGTTGAGCTGGTGCGGGGTATTTTCTGGCGTCGTGGATCGGTGCCTCTATTGCGTATGTCGCTTACAGAAGCCGCCGAGCCATGGGTCCGACCAAGGCTGCCCCCGGGACTCCAATGATCTTGCGGTGAGTGAACCATTTCGGTTCCACCAATAGTGACAGTCTTGCGTGGCGGGCCAGCAGGATAGCGCGCTTGCATGGGATTGAATTGGTTGGAGAGGTTTGTCTCCCACTGATATCCCGTGTTGAAGTCGATGGAGCTGTCGTCCATTTGCGAGTATTCCTGTGGTGGCATGGTACGGTCGGCGAAGGCGCTTCCCTCGTCGTCCTCGGCATCGGAGTCGGCGCCAAAGGTGAACATGTTCTCTTGACGACCCATTTGCAACTCGTGTTGTTGGCGCAAGGGCAGGTTATTGTGAAGCACCTGCGACGGATCGACGTGGTTTGATTGGCCAAAGGATGACACTGAAAACGGCAACGAGGAGCTCGCGCTCGTCACTGGGCTGAAGACGGAGTCTTGACCACCGGCCCCAGGATTGAAGATGTATTGCGGTTGCATCGACGTCGATAGGTTTGATGGGCGGTGGGGTCCATAGGAAGCGCCATGCTGTGAGGTACGGATGTCCATGCCGCTGCGATCAAAGTACATTTGGCTGTCTTCTGAGATGGGCTGTGGAGTCGAGACGGTAGAGGGGAAGGCGGAGCTGGGTGGAGAGTAGTAGTCGGTGGAGTTGAGCGACGAGGCCATGGAGTTGTGGTTAAACATGTTTGAGTTGAATGCGTTGTGGCTCATAAGAGGCGAGCCGACGGGAGAGAAGCCCGAGAAGCTCTGCTGGTAGGGTCCGGCCGAGTGGACGGCGGGATCTTCGTGCATCTGAAAGGTATCTAGGGAGAAGGCACCCTGACCCTGGGAGGCGGGGAAGGTGGGTGGCTGCATGGTGGTGTTGTCCAGTGAGTACTGGTGCAGGTCGGCCTCGGAGTGAGCATCGGTGGGTATCATGATGCTGTTGACAGGAGGGACCAGAGGCGAAGCTTCAGCGCGGCGCTTGGGTGGCTGATAAGGCGTTAGGGAGGAGCGACGAAGAGAGCAGAGCAAGAAGGGAGAGAGGCAAGGAGAGATAGGGAAGAGGAGGAGGAGGCGGCGGCAACAAGGGAGAGTAAGAGATAAGGGCAAGGACTCACTCTTCGCTCGTCGATGCTGGTTTTGCGGACGTGTCGTGGGACGTAGCCAAATTCATCCTCTTTGCTGATGGCAGGAGGCACCGAGGGGGCAGAAGCGCGGGCGAGGGAAAGGTTATGGTCGCTGGCCAGATGCGGCTTCCTTATCGGTATCGCTGGGGCTGTTGCAATAAATGGAGCCGCATCCTCATTCGACCCTGGGGGCGATAGGCCTGCAGGACTGCCAACCGACGAAGGAAATATAAAATCGTCCAGGTTCATTGCGTCTTGGGCAGGCTGGTGTACCTGCGCCTGCTGATCCTGCGATTTCCTCAACTGCTGGGCAATGCCGCTTGGAGCGGATCGGGGCGGCGGCCTGGACGAGGCCGCTGGAGGAGGCATCATCATCTGGTTGCTCTGTGTGTTCTGGCTAGGCCTACACGACAAACAAAAGGTTAGCAGCTGGTTGAGGGAGGCAGGCTCGCTGGTAGTGGCGCAAAAGCAAATGGCGGCATTCATACCCTTTATTGCGATCCATGTCAGCACGACGCATGTTCATGGCCATCATTCGCCATGTCAGATTCTCCATGCGCTCTGCATTGGGCAGCTGTGTCTTTGCTCGTGAGTACAGTTTCCATATCTGCGTGCCTAGTGGGTCGTTCTTCTGCATCTGCTCTGGCGACTCGGCCCCAGGGCTGCCCGCATCGTTGCCGAATGCTGGAAATATGGCATCCTGGAGCACACCCCGGCGGGCCGAGTCCTGCGACGACGAAATCTCCATGGTGTCTTTGGGCAGGGCAAAGTCCATGGAAATTCTGGAGACGGGATGGGAAGCCTCGCTGGGAAGCAGTGGTAAATGTGCAGCAGGCACTGAGGGAAGGCGATGATGTAGCTGCGTGCGTCGGCGCGTGCTCTGGATCGGATGGGAGCACCCCACGTTAGCAGCAGCAGCGGCGGCCCTCAGCTGCAACCACAGCCGAAATGGGGCTCTGGGCAGTGGGTAATTAGTGCTGGGGGAGGGAGGGGATATGTGGTGCGTGTGCAACCAGAGGGAGCTGGGCGCGGCCGGGGCTGGTGCTGGTGCTGGTGCTGGGGAGGGGGGGGCAGTGGGCAGTGGACTGTGTGTGTGTGGGCTTGGGGGAGAGGGAGAAGGGGGGCTGTGGACTGCTGTGGACTGCTGTGCTGGAGGAGGGTAATGGGCAGCTTGCTGTGGTCGTGACCGCAGTCGTCGAGCTGGTTCACCTCCACGGGGAAGGACCCTCGATATGTTTAGGCTCGTGGACCACCAGTGAGCGGCGCAATAATTGAATTGCAGCGATTGCGGGCTACAGCATGCGACGGCAGCAGGGGGCGCTGGGTGGGTCGAGAGTCGTGACGCTGGGCCTCTGGGAGGAGGATGAGATGCAGAAGGTGGAGCGTTCGCACCCACGCAGCCCCCACCAATTCACCCTCGGTCACCAATCACGCGTGCAGCCAGCGTGGCCCTCGTAGTCGCAGCCTCGACGCAGACGCGCAGTCGGGCGTGCTGTTGTTTGGGGCCCTGTCGGCGTCTGGTCTGCCTCAGCCGTCGTCGTCGTCGTCGTCGGTAGATGGATGGTAGTAGTAGTGGTGGTGGTGGTAGTTGTCGTAGCAGTAGTAGTAGCACCATGGTCAAACAGTCGCTCTACTCTACATGGCACTCTACTCTCAACAGCAATCTCGGCGACGACGACAACAACAACATAGACACACCCACACCAAGACCAGGCCAGCAGACCAGCACACCCACGCTTCAAGCAAGCCAGCAGCAAAGCCAGCAGCAACGACGGCGGGCGGTTGAGCGACAGGTGCGCCTGCCTTGTGCTACTTGCCGCTTAGCATGCAGGCCCCGGTCCGTCTCAAGACCGCCTGAACCGTGCAGCTCATACACTCACTTGGGATCCTGGGTAACGGGCTCGGAGCCATTCGACTGCTAGCACAAGCATTGGCATGTGCTACCACTTGCGGGAGGATTTTCTTATTTTTTTCTCTGCGGCAATTCTGGCCACCGTGCCTGGCCCTTTTGCCCTTTTGCCTCGCTGCCTCACGGTCTGCCTACCAACGCCTGTCGGGGTACGTCACTTTTCTTCCTGCCTGCCTGCATGCGCCATCGGTCTGCGTCTGTCCGAGCCTCGCTAATGTTCCCTCATTCCTCTTGACATGTTCTAGTACCGCTTCGCGATCCACAGTCGCCGTAGTCTTGAAAGCTTACGCAAATAGACAACGGCTCCGTCAGCCGTGCTATTCGTCAGCCTGCAGCCTCCCTTGGTCCGCTAATGGCGTGCAGCACCAGCACCAGCACCAGTTGCAACACCGCCCGCTGCTCGCCTACATGTCCATGTAGCCATGTGTGTACACACCTACATACGTACTATAAACTACATATGTATCCAGTACGTACGTACAGTACGTACAGCTGTGGGTGTCTTGGCTGTGCCTTTTTCCAGTCTGGGGCAGGTATGCCTTTGCCGCACTGCTCACAATCGGGCTTGGTCCCCCGACTCGCTCGACTGGCTGGCATTGTTGGTGCAGCCAGCGCCAAAAAAACGAGACGCACTCGCCCTCTCCAAAATGCTGCAATACCTGCTCATTGTTTACCCGCTGTGGAGTATCTGGTCCGAATACTGCCGCAGCCCGCCCTTGGGCTCGGCACTTCTATCCCTACATCTCCCGACAGCCTCACGGCCTCATCTCAGGGTCTCTTGTTTACTTACCCAGACCCACCACCTTCATTAGTCTCTACTTACCGCGGGCCCACCTCTCACTGCGCACGAGCACGTGGCTGTAGTCTCTTTTGGTGATGCACAATCTCCAGACGCGCCTTACACGCAATACAGGTACAACTAGAGGGTCTGGCGCCCTCAACAGCATCCACCGCCCCAGTCGGATTGCCCTCCCCCGATTAGACGGCTCCTTGTACCGGCAACACTGGCACATCCACCCGCAATCCTTTTCTATCTCAACCCATCCAGAACCCCAAACCACTGTTCCACCCCGAGTCCACAAACACCCACACGCGGACATGTAGCCACTGCGGCCGTCGGAAAATCCGCGCGGGTCGAGGCAGATCCATACTCTTCCACATGTAACCGTTACGCACACGGTGGAGAGAGCAACATGAAACTGGCAACACTCGCATGAACTATGGCCATGGTTTGTCGGTGGTGGCAACTCTTCTAGATCTTTGCCTGCCCAGCTAGTGTATCCGTGCTTCTACTAGAGTACACACATGTAGTCCAGGCAGGGTCATACGTCAGGCAAAGAGCCATGTACATGTACCTACGGTACTCGAGGCACGTGAGGCACAGCCACGCTCTTTTTTTTGCCGTCTGCACTGCGATCTGTGAGACTTGGAGGCAGTCCTTGAAGATCGAAGAGCGTCACTCCCTCTTGGCCTGCATTGGTTCCGGTACACACAGGTCGTCGAGTTCAGTGCTGCTCACGGCTTTCTCCACGAGCATATCATGCTGTTGTGTGTAACTAGTAGTCTGTGCATCAAAGCTTTGAACCGCACTGCTTTTGGGGTCCAACCAAGCCGTACCCACCGGCAATGTGTGTAATATCAAGGGATGCAAAAAAAGGGTCCAACAATCTCCTGTGCATCGATACATTGATACATAGTCATTCATCTACTCACTCTACTAGATGCATACCATGGGTTGCCCTACTGGCATTACTTCGGGTACGACTCATCTACCAGCCCGCCAGCACCGGTGGTTGACGTCGTGCATCGGCTAATCTGGAGCCAGTCGTTTAGATCCCGGCTCACCAGTCCAACGGAGTTTCACATGCGAACCAATATCACAACCAAGTCATGTCACTACACTAGCATCCATCTGCACCGATTGCTGAGCCATTTCCTCCAGAGCATCTACTCTGACACAATCCAGTGCGGCCCATGGGCTCCGTCTCCAGTCTACTCGTCCGCAGTAGAGGCATGCAGGCAGGGTGTGCTCGATATTGAGAAGAGGATGTACCCCCACGTGTCTTGCCCCGAAAAGAGCAAGCGGTCAAGCCGAGTATCCCTGTCCATGCAAGCGCCCCCCCAAGCCCCCATCCGACCCCCCTCCAAAAAAAACGCCATTTGCTTCTGACTTGCATGCATAAGCTGGTAAAGTGGAGCCTGGATCCTTTGCTAAACCCGACTGAATCCGCTCTAACTTCGCTTGTCGCCGCATTGATGGCTTTGGGCACGCTACACACACAGTAGTCGTTCAACAACACGAGCCTCCTCTGCGTCCTATGCTGCATTTCGCCCTGATCCAATCTTGATTCCAAAACATCCTCCCATGCCTGCCCGCTATCGGATGTCTGCACTTGCTCTTTGTCGGAACAATCCTCGCGCGGTATTATCCGCTTTGCTGGACCGCGACCCTTAGCACTGGTGCTGGCGCAGTACCGAAATCCACACCCACACACATGCGCACCCTCGCATGTCCACACGGCACCAACGGCACCAATCAACCGCTGCAACCGCCGACAATCAATAACACCAGGGCCCCCCAATCCCCTTGCGACCATGCGGGTGCATGTCTCCTGCTCTCTCCTCGTCACGATCGAAACGCCTCGTTGGCTTGGACAAGGTTTCAAGGTCGCATGCCTTCGATACGAGACGCGGGATGCCCGTGGGGGTTGGCGTACGTGATTCATTTAGAAGACTCGAATATGGGTAATTCGGCGGATGATCCCTTGATCGTCCACGACACCGCCCTTGGTCGATCCACACTTGGGCGCACAAACGGTTGACCATCGACGGGGTCGGCCGTGAGTGAACAAAGTGGAAAAGGGTCCTTTTCCTCGTCGTGTGCTTGCTGCCGTCTCGCGTGCTTCCTCTCCAGATTCGTACAAGACTGTTCGTCAGCGCTGACATGTCACTGCCGGCCGTCTATACGTCGAAACCAAGGCAGTGGCAATACCTGTCCGTCCTGGGTCGTGACGTTTTGCTACATGATTGTCCACTGGGCATAGAATTTCGGGAAAGATTGGTGGCGGCGGGGATGATGCTTGCGTCAGTGAGTCCGGCCGACCCGTGGACGGCCTGCACATTCGCTCGAGTGTCTACTGCGTCCGAGGACGACGGAAGAGAGGGCCGTGGCTTTTTTTTCAGACAAAATGCTTGTTGTTGAAGACCAACCCTCAATGGCTCAAGCTTGATTTGTTGAAGGGAAAGACATCTTCAAGGCGCGCCATCTTGGCATCCTCAGCGGAATGGGGCCAAAACGGCGGAGCGGAACCAGGTCGTCCAGTGCACAGGGAAAACGGGAGAGGGAGGGGGGTCGCCAGATTTGCTTTCCAGCCCAGAAATGCAATGGCGGCACATGCGACTTCTTATACAGGTGCAGGCTCTACTGTCAGAGCCAGATCGTGCAGTGATACCATTGCGCGTTATCATTGCGCGATTGATAGCCGTATTCTTAGTGGTGCTTGCACCACCCCCTTTCAGCCTCACATCCTCCCTCGTCACCGTCCGAGCAGCCAATAATGCTTGCGAATGCATGCAAACGTGGTTGGTTTGGGTACAGTCCACATATCCAGCGAGTAGGTGGCCTTCCTATTGTGGATGTGAAACAGAGATAGACTATCTCCAGATACCTTATCTTACGCAGGGAAATGTATACTGCGGCTGTGCGCGAAGCAATGAGCATCGTTTGGCTTCCCCAGGCACACGCCCTGGCGAATCAGCGTAGTCGATAAGAACTCCAGACCCTGCATCTTGTTGAGTTGGCGAGACTGTGCTTTTGCTATTGTCGTGTCTTGGGGCCTATTTGCGGCCATGATAACTAACGTTCTCGCCGTCGGCCGGTCGTGTAAGCCGGGCAATCAAAATTGCGATTTTTCTGAATGATCGTCGCAAGTGGGTTTGGATAAGGGGCCCCCACAGTATTTTTGGGGAGGGCCTAAAATCGGGGTGCGGGGATTTTATATCGCGGTATGTGAGTACATTGCTGGGTGGCTATACATTTTCATCCATACCATGCCAACCCAGCATCGCTGCAGGGACCATCATATGCTTCGTCGGGTATCTGCATACATCCCGATGATTCCGTCTCTCAAGCATTTCCTGCCATCCCCTTGCTGATATCCAAGCGCCCTTCTCCGTGGGGATGGTGACATCCACGCTCCCTATCTCGTCAACCGGCCTGACGTGACGTGACACAGAGATTGCCAATTATGGCACCGCCTTGCCCTGTTTGTATATTCGTCTCGTCTCGGGATTCGAAGCGTGCGCGGGATACACAGCACGGTCGCTGTATGGCTTTATTTAATTCATTCCTTTCCCGCCTTCTTGTCATCCACCGCTCCGCCGCCCTTGACCGTCTCTTCTCCCAAGACTTTGCTTGCCGCCATGAACCTAGGTATCCAGTGTTAGCGCCCGTCATCCATACAGCCTGAGCCCTGCTCCTTGTCCTGGACTTGGCCGAGTATCCCAACCGTCGCAACTTACATGGCGCCAGCATAACCGCCCAATCCCCGCATATCCTGTGCCTGACCAGCCGTCATACGCATCAGACTCTCCAGGTCCGCCATGTTTGCCGTCAGTTGTGCCAGTTGCGCTTGTAGGTGAGAGAGTTGGCGCGGCTTCTGCGAGGGTACGGTACTGAGGCGCGAGCCGCCTGGAGTGTGGGAGCGAGGGACATTCGACATCGTAATCGCTATAGTCGCCGGAACCTTCGAGGTTTACTTCTGGTAGTCGAGATCGATATAGTCGTTGGCCGTCAGTGTTGGTGGTGTGATTGTTGTGGACGCAGAAGTGGGGGACGCGTCGCATTGAATCGTGGTGGGACTCCCGCGGCGAACAGGGCTTGGCGATTGGAATCTCCACTCCGCTTCGACTCTTCTGCGGCCTCAACTCCATTGCCCTTGCGCACCACCATTGATTGATCCCTTGTCGCATCATCTCACCGGACTCACATCGCGAGGAACCATGGCAACTCTCCAGACCGTCCGGCGCTGGATCATGACTGGCGCAGTCGCTGCCATCACAATAACCGGGACCATCTATGGCGCGGGGTTGAAGGGACAGCAAGAAATCAAGCAGGTATGTTGATCATTCACTTTATGTAAAGGATTGGTGAAGATTGCTTCCTCTCAAATGTACTGTATGCCTATGAAGGTAATATGGACTACTGAGCCCGATCCTGAGCGTCCAACAAACCATACGATATGCTAATGGTTTGTCTTTTTAGCAAAAACGACAGGTCCTCCAAGCCACACCCGAAGAACGGATCGCCCAACTCGAAGTCACACGCGCCGATTTAGTCCTAAAGAAGAATGAGATGGAAAGGAAAATCGCAATGATTGTCGAAAAGAGGAGGGCGAAAGAGCAAGGGCAGACTGAAGGGAGATGAGAGATCGGAAAATTCAAGCTGCATCACGTTGAGCATTTACCACATCTCCGCATAGACTGTACAGGAAAGGAAAATACCTCTCTACCCATAAGGATCCGCATGGAAATCTCTGGAGAATTCACCGGTGCTACAGAATCCATTCCCTCCTGGACTAATACCACACTGACGACACGGAAAAGCGCAATAATAGCAACTAGAGTGGAGACTTGAGCACTGTACTCAATCTCATTTGCTAGCTTTGGACAAACACTACCGCATACTTCGTCCCGCTACCCATGGCAAAGTTGGAAGCTTTACCGAGATCAAAAGCTAGCAGCGAATCTTCACAAGGCTCATGATCAATATGCATGTCATTACATTGCACGCCAGTGGTTTTGTCGAAGCTATCATGGCCCGTCCAAATTAACCGGATCGCTTCCTGGTGCAGTAGCGTATGCAAGGGCAATGCTATTTTCTTAGAGCTGCACGTGTGCTTTCACAGCTAGTGAAATCATGTATAACACATCATAGTGCAACCATGGTTACCGGAAAGTCACAGGTATTACAAATGTATTTTGCCAATTGCCCCACGGGAAGAATACATGGACGTCGATCTTCACCGAACCAAACCCCCCCTCCACATGACCTTCCGTAATGCCGTTCACCGCCCCGCCACACCTACGTACATAGGATGAAGGTCACGAGACCTATGTGTAACTGCTACATGCAGCCGTCCAGGCGAAGCGCTAATAATTACGCTAAACCCTACGCACATGATATGCCCGATGACAACATGTCTCAAGCCATTCGGCCTTTCTTCGTCTAAGGCGAAACGGATCATCTACGGTGTTACCCCAATGATCAGTCAAACATTATGCGTACCCCAGCATCGTCCTGCAGCCAAAACCAGTTTCAGTCAGAACAAGGAAATCCGGTGCTACGCCAGTTCATGAAAGCCCTATGCCTATCCTGAGATTGATTGCTGTCTACGCATTGGATTCAGTGACAGTACAGCGTAATTGCGACATGAAGATTTCAGCTAAATACTTTTTTGCATATTTCTGTTGTCAACCCGAGGCAGGTTCAATTACGAGACTGAGCCATTGAGTAACCTTAGTCTTCAATCATGCAAGATATATTTTAAGAATACACACAATGTTGCATTGTCTGTATAATGGTGTCTGAAATGTATCAAGATTCAATGATTAGGTCTCCAAGAATAGAAGAATAAAGTTTCTGAAATCCAGACTTCGGTGAAATGAAAGCCTGTCCGCGTTGCCATCAGATGAGCCCAACTCATGTAGAACTTCAAGATCGAAGTCTCAGATCTCTTGCTTGACTTTGAAGGATTCTCATCCCATGTCCCTTCAATCCCGCTCCCCGCTCTCATCCCGACTACTCCGTACCCCCATTCCCGCCATCACCCCCCATTTCCCCCAGATCCGCCTAGCATTCTCCAGATCCCATCACATATCCATCTTCGCAGCCGCCTCCATACCAAAAGGCACAGCAGCACTAGTCGCAATATTATTCGATCCTTAAAAAAAACCACTCGCATTAGCCCCATGCCGCTCAATTCCGAATCCCACAAAGTCCCACCCCCCAAAGAAGGAGAGAAAAGCGCCAAAGTAAAAAAAAAAAGAGAGACTAACCATGCTTGCCACCCCACCAGTCCCAACACTCGATCCAGAACTCCCTCGCTCCCTCCCACAAACACCACAGCCGTAGCGACCAAACAGATGACAAGCATGCAGCTAGGTGACACGGCGGCACCAGAGGAAGCAACATGCGGCGTGTTATCGAAGGAACCGCCGTCGAGGGGGAACACGGTGAGCGTCATCATCCAAGGTTTTGTCGATGAATCCCGTTGAGGAAGGTATTGGATATTTGCTGTCGACTCTTTTGTTTCGCTTTGTAATTCGACTTTCGTCTTAAGAAATTGAGGGATGTTTTTTTTTGGGGGAGGGGGGGAGGATTAGGGAGGGAGAGAAGAAAGGAGAAGAAGGTGGCAAAGGTACATGGCAAACATGCTGGCTCGCTTTTTCAAGCCCACCCAGAGACAGAGAGAGACATTGGTGTTGTTGAGACATTGTCTGATTTCGGGGAGGGGGTCTCGCACCAGGTACGCCCGCTTGGACTGTCTTACATTTTGTCTTGAATTGACTTGGTTTGAAAACACCGTGTTTTTCTTCTTCTCTCTTTAAGCTGCGGATTCATTTGCGGGGCTGCTGTGCTGTGTGGATTAGAAACAAGGTGAGTAATGTGGGTTTATCGGCTTGCTTGATTTCGTTATCCCCTGTTTGAGGGTGATGTATGGTGCTGAGCCGGGAAACGCATATAAATTTAGTTACATTCCTTTTTGTGGGGATTGTATGGATCTTATTTGGTAGTGTGGAGAATCTGTGGAGGTTGTGGGCTTCTGGTAATAAACCGGGGGTCTGGTAATCTACTAAAACGGTAGCATGCATACCTTGATTAGGTGTAGTTATCTAGTTTGCAGACTGGTACTAAGAGACATAAAGGACGTATTTCAAAATGTAAGTTTGATAGCAACTGCTAAAATGATATATTGGATTGAAGAAAATCTATCCGGGGTATCGAACAATTACAACGAAATCTATCTAGCGTCATCGTCATTTCCGAGTTCGGCATATTCATATGCTTCTTCTCAACTCCGTGTACTCATCAATGAGGGCTGAGTAGCCCCTGCATGAACCGTGCTGGATGGCCACCGCGAATCTACGCATGTCATCCCTTACTCTTCACGACCACGCCTGCGGTTGTTATCAATAAACACCTTCTTGAATCTGAAATGGCACAGATCCTTCGTAACTCCCCAAGAACTCTTCATATTCTCCTTGACAAGTTGTCGGGTTGGCTTCTGGAATAGTTGATCGATTTCCTCAAGAGTGAGATCCTTCGTCTCAGGCATAAAGAAGATCTGGTAGAACCATCCGACAACGGCGATGCCACCAAAGAATCCAATTGTAAGACCTGTCTTGGTAAAGGCTTCTTGCATGCCAGTGAAGTTGTAGGTGATGATGAAGGAGGAGAGGAACAGCCATGCAGTCGAGGTAGTCATTCCGTAGGACCGGAGGTATGTAGGGTAGACCTCAGATGGAACGACCCAAGTGAGTGCGGCGTAGGAACCGAAGAACAACATGTACAGGACCAGACCGGTAAAGTAGATAGCGAGTTTGCCGCTGAGATCAGTGATCTGGTAGGAGACACCGACCAGGACGAGACCAACGAGGAAGCCAGGCAGCATAGAAATAGCCCAGAAACGACGTCCACAGGTTTCCATGAGGAATATAGCGGGGATTGTGCCGAGCAAAAGCGAACCTCCACCAACAAGCGAAACGTACGTGGAATCGTAGGTATTAAAGCCCATTTGCGACATCAAAACTCCGAGGTAGTACAAAATTGCATTGACACCCGTAAACTGACCCAAAAACACCATTATGTTTGCGTAAATAATGGCGCGTCGTGGTCGTGCTTTGGTAAAAAAGTCCATCCATGGGAAACAGTTGGTGCGTTGAGCGACCACCTCAGCCTCCTCCATCTCGGTGCTGACTTTCATAACGAAGAATTCTTCACGTGCCTCATGTGTAGCAATGCCGCGGATACGCTTCCACACCTTGAAGGACTCAAGAGGCTTCTTCTTGTGCATCAGGTACCGGGGGCTTTCCGGCATGAAGAGAATACCAATGCCCATGATGGTGGAGAAAACGAGCGAGGAACCGAGAATATAGCGCCAGTTTCCTGGAACTTTGATGAACATGGCAGCGACGGCATAGCCAAGAACTTCTCCTAGCGCGATATTGAATTGATACAGCGAGACAATGTTACCACGCATTCTGCTCTCGACGGTTTCGGCGACATAGACAGGGACGGTACCTCCTTCGAGACCGACACCAGCTCCGAGGATGACACGGGCGGCAACAATCATTCCGTAGTTCATGGCTCCAGCTTCGAGAGCGCCGCCAATGGTGTAGAGAATGCAGGAGATGATGATGGCCCAGCGGCGACCAAAGTATTCATTGCATGGCGAGATGAGCAAAGCACCAGCGACAGCTAGATGAGTTTAGTACGAGTTTCGACAATAGAATTTGTTTTTGAAAACGTACCACCTAGAGGCATGCCAGAGTTGACCAGCGAATTTTGTTGATCGGTAAGACCCAAGTCATGGGGAAGCGTCAAATTGGCGCCAGAAATAAGCGACTGATCGAGACCAGAGAGCAGACCACCCATGGACGCAAAAACAATAAGCATCCATGTGAAGTGCTTGGGGTTCTTGAATTCGAGGTCGAAAAAACCCTTCTTGTAATTGGCCTGCTCAAGTTGCTTTGAAAGATCCTGGATTAAATTCTCGGATTCCCATCCTCGTGCATCTTCAAGCTGCTCTGTCCGGGCCTTTGGTGCAGAGTAATCGGGTGCAGGAGCAACTTGAATGTTGTCGTTCTTTTCAGTTTGGAACTGTGGGTCTGCCGACTTGTTGCCAACATCGGCCATCTTTGTGTCCTTCTCATCCATGATGGGCAGTGATCAGCGAAGGAGAGGGCGTTCAAAAGAGGGGAGAAGAGAGGCAGCAGGATCACGAGTAATCTCTCGCACACAAAAAAAAGGCACCATCCAGTGCATATCTCCTCCCTTTATAAACCCCAGTGGAAAAGATCGGTGCCCATGGAGAAGTCCCCATGGTCCTCCTCATACGGCTGGAGTGACGTAATGTGGAGTCTCCATGGCACAGAGACAGCAAATTTTCTGGCTTGCGCGCATAGCGATACCGGGCCCCCTGCCAAAACAGTAAGCGCGAGTCTAAAGCCGGTTGTTGCAGGTTTGCCAATCGTCGTCCAGTAGTAGTAGAGATGGGCGTTGATAGACAAGCATCGGTCCGACGTCTTGGTGGAGCTTGGCTGCAAAGAAGCTTCTAGCGCCCCACATGAGGCTCTGCGATCCAACAAAGTTTTCGCCCGAGATATCCACCGATTGCACAAGAGGCAGGGTGTGCGTGTCCCCTCGTCTCGAACGTCATTCCCCGTGGAGTTTTGTTGGAGATTCCTGAGCTCGTGCAAGCAAAACCCCGCAAAGCTGGACATACAGTAGGTAAAGATAAGCATCGGGTAACATGCGGGAGTGGCGGACAACTAGCCTTTGCAACCAGTTCTCAACACCGTTCAACTGCCGGAGCCTCGACCGGCTTTACTTCAGTCAAAGCGTCAAAGCCATGACGTCGTTACGCCATTGGATGCGTCAACAAGCGGTGCGAATTGCCAAAAAGTAGCAACCCAGTTCGACGCACGTATCACCATCGGAATCGGAGGGCGGAGGAAACCCTGGTCAGTGAGGCTCTCTTCCTGGTTTACCACCGGGGTTTCGGCGTCCATACCGTTTATGGACGCAGCCGTAGAGAACGGGGGAAGGGAGTGTACCTAGCTCCAGTACACCGTCCGACATGTTCCGCTCCAGCCTCGCTTCCCCCAGCCTGGAGGCCTTGCAACAGTGCCGCTAGGCCCACTCTCCAGAAACCCCAGGGGCACCAGAGCCATGTGTTGGGACCACCTCGGGTAGAACCGGCCATGGAGTATGGAGAAACGAACGTATAGCATCCGACATTCTGTGAAGATCAAGGTGAGACAGTGGTCATCGGCGGCAGGATGAGCACCGTTACGAGTCAATTTCTACAGCTCCACCACCCATCAACATGAGTTGTACAGACCCCGACATGGGGCCACGCCCCACTATCGTCGAAGTCCAAGGTGCACCAACACACGAGCTACGAACAAGCACAAAGATCACAGCGCCAAAACCTCGGAACTGGGATTTGGTTCCCATTCAAACACACACCTACTAACTGCACGAATCGTCTTCACGAGTCAAGAAATACCGCTCACACATGTCCGATCTACTAGTTTCCTATTCCTTCCGTTACTATGTGCAGCTCCACTATGAAGTGGTACTCACTAACATCAGTCCATGACTCAGATATTGAGCGAGAGAATCATAACGATATTAGTTACTTCTGCAATGACTTCATTGGACGCGAGCGAAAAAAAAGGACAAATAACCCCCACTATCATTTCTTGGGCTTAAGTGAGGTGGGCCACCTTGCTTCTAAACAAAACTTTGCACCTACAACAGAGGGCTTGTACGAATGGTTACAAGAGACGATAGTGCTGTTGACGATGAACAGAGTACATTCATTTCCTTTGTTCAAAGTACCACGCAGTGAATCAATGTATTCACAAATCCCATTTGGAAGGTCCCCAGACGGAACAATAAAGAGATGCGTACTTTACACTCACAGGGTCAAGCTACCACCGTAAACCCCGCCATCACATACACCGACAACATCGCCGACAAGGCACGCAATATTGCATCAGCAGACTATCTATTTCATTCATCAAAAGTCGCTATACATTCATGCACGCTAAATACCCAACAAACACAACCATAGTCATCTCAGGTCTTCTCATCCTCAAACAACGCCATCACCACCCAAACCCCCCGTTAGGCCCTTCATTCTTCTCCCCAGCAAATCATCCTCTGAAGCCAAGCTGACTAGACTCTTTCTTCTACCGCGCTCACTCTTCCTTACTCTGCCCCTACCCCTTACATTCAAATCTCGTTCCTTTGCAGACTGGTTATTCTGCGGACTTCTCTTTCCCTTGTTCAGCACCGTCATTTCCAGCGGCCTATCCTCATCAATCGAGCTCGCAGTCCCCGTCCGACGATGGTGTCGCCCCCGTTGTGGCGATGTAAGCCCATCAATCGCATCCGCCAGCCCCACAGTACCGAAATAATCGCCTCCTCTCTCGCCTGGCCGTCTGACTGAAGCAAGCGGCGTGTACATGGGCGTTTCCAGCTCACCCTTTTCGGCATCTGCGTCAAAAGCCTCAGTAATCCATTTGCCGCAGCGATGGATGTACTTCCAGCCCTCAGGGAATACGCCTACGAATTGCAAGAAGCCGTGGCTGATGCCCGGGATGAGATCGACATTCACCCAGTTCTCTTCGTCGAACTCGCCACGAGCCCAGTCGAGACCAAGGTCTTTTGCTGCCACCCATTCGGCGCGCTTGGCCTGTCGTAGACGTCCGGCGAAGATGACTGTGTCGTCGACAAGTGGGTCGCGCTCACCGGTCAACATCCAGCACTTGGGGAATTTTGCTAGGAGAGACTCTGGTGCAAGCAACGGTGAAAGAAGAAAGTCGGTGCTAAAGTCTGGACGGTGATGTGGGCCTATGTACAGGATGATCATGGCACGCATCATTTCCGGCGTCAGAATGCGGTCGTTGAAGTATGAAATCATACTCGATGTTGCGAGACGGGTTTTAATGGTGGTTGTAGGAGGTGCTGGTTGCGGTGCACCTGGGGTAGGTGGCTGAGTCGCTAATGGCGTAGGTGGCATACTGTTGGTGCTTGCTGATGTTACCTGACCGGCGGCAGTGTTACCATTAGCGGCGGTATTGCTCATATCGATACGAGGAAGGGAGTGGCTGTCTATGCCAGTATGGGCAGCAGAAAGCCTGATCATCGTCTGGGCAGATTTGAGGGTGCGGGTGGAAGTTGCATTTGCACCATTGGTTATGCTTGGTTTCTTGGTATCATCATCGCTGTCCGTATCAGACCCATAAGGAGTGTTTGGCGCAAGGTGTCGGTAGTCGTCACTCTTATGTCGAAGAATGGGCCGATTTGTCTTCCTTACCCTTCGGTCGCGGATAAGGGCCATCTGCTCGTCAGACATCCAGTTTCCGATGTTCATGTCCAGCGCCGGATAGACCAGCACTACGCCAACAGGGGGTGGTAGAGCGCGCTCGCCCTGCCATCTTCGCGTTTCCGTCGATCCACTTTGTAGGACCATGAGCACCATACCCACAGCCAAGTTACCGCCTGCCGAATCACCACAAACGACAACTTTGGGTTCGAGTTCTCCCGATAGTCCCATACATGTCCCCCTCGAAGCCATGATCATATGATAGACATCATAGCACTCATTAAGCGCATATGGATACGGATGTTCAGGTGCCTTTTTGTAGTCCAGACTTAGCACGGGCAGACCGGTCTTACCAGCCCATCCCATGAGCTTATCATCGTGGTTCCTTGGATCCATAGCAACGAAGCCCCCACCAGGTATATCCAGCACAATCTTATCGTGCTTCTTGAGCGCGCTTCGTGGGCCGTTGAAATACAACCACGCAGTCACAGGCTCTTTGTACGAGCTTGCCCTTGGTCGTGGTATCCTGATTTTGCGCGGCGGGTAAACCATCAACCTCGGGCGCATCAAGCTGGTCAAGGCGCCAAGATACGGCGTCGTTCCTTTGTTCCACGCGACACGGAGGTGATCGACGGTGAGAGTAGCCCTAATCTTTCTCACCTTCTCGTCGGCCTGCTCCGCGCATATCATATAGTATATGCTAAACACAATCGACAGGAAGTCCCTCAGGCCTTTTCGCTTGATACGCATGGCGGACCAGAAGCCTGCATCCAGCGCCGTTGTAACCCATGTTGCGCGGAAGTAGGAGCGCGAGTAGAGACTTGCGAGTGGCTCGGGGCACTCGAGGCCGACAAGCTTGCCAAAGTTGCGAGCGACGTAGAGGTAGAGGAGCGTTACGAGGACCGATTGCCACACAGTCAGCTTCCTGGAGAGAAGGGCGGAAATACGGCGGACAATTGGGGGGCCATGGCGGTCGCCTCTGGAAAGGGAGGATTGTAAGCATGTGTTGTTTGTAAAACCACGTGAGTGCTTTACCTGTAGAGATAAAAGGACCAGAAAGATACTACTGCTAGCACTTGGATCTTTCGAAATTGCACTGACGGCCGCCCGAGTACATGATCTATCATGGCGCAAGCTCGTTCACTCTCGCTCGCACGGCGCTTCCCTTTTACAAAGCGCACTCGGATATTCTTATTCTGAACCTGTCAAACAAAGAGCTTGCCTCGTTCAGCGTCATGAAAGGCGTCAAAGTCGGGTCTCCACGGTTGTTGTTGCAGCGGCCAAGTCTTGCGTGAGCATGTGTGAATGCCAGAAATGTGGGAATCCGGGGTATGTTGCGGGCAGCACAACCTGGGGTAATAAAAGATGGGGGGAAGGGATTGTAACTACAACTAGTTGAGATCGGGGACGAAGGAGAGATGGGACAAAGACGGGCATGCTTTCAGCCCTTGGTCATCCATGTTTCTGAATAGGCGTCAAGGCCGTCGACAAGCGCGGCGCATTTGCTGCATGAGGCTCTGTGGTTGGGTGAGGGTTCGGCATGTGACAAGCTGTTGTGGATGCGTGCGTGCCATGTGAAAGCTGCGCTATGACATGTTCTCGGCTTTGGCAACAGTTTGTCCGAGGACTCGCGTCATATGCATGCCGGCGGGAGCCTTAGTCCGCCAGCCACGGCATTCCCCAGATCTCCATGTTCTTTTGTCTGCTGATTGCTATTTGTAGTAAGCAAAAGCACGTGAACTGAGTTTTAGCTATGCGACGAGTTGTATTAATATGGCATAGTATGCAACTGCTATGACAGGCAGAGGTACGAGAGGTTTGGAAATAGTAATGAACAAAGCGTGCGACGGAAACCCGTCATATATATAGTATATACCATGACTGTAGAAATTCCGGAGTATTATTAAAAGAAGAATAGGCATAGTAGTAAGACCGCCAAAACACCCCGAATCGCGTGCCAAGCTATGTACCATGAATGGGTTAAACACCTTGTGCGCAGCCCCAATTTAGGCCCCGTCACAAATGCGTCACAACTCTGACAGGGGGGCTTGCAACCAATGATCTCTTCAAAACCAGAGAAGCACTGTAACAAAGAATAGAAGAGGAAAAGAAAGAAAAGAAAAAAACATCCATCGTGCCTCACCAAACCTCATCTTCAACAAATGAAATCGTTGTCCGTACGTAGTATACGGAGGTCCAAGCAAGCAATCCTTACCTGATAGCCTTGATGCACTCCCCAACCTCAAACCCAACCCTCCTCAAATCGGGCTCGGTAAACTTCCCTTCCTTCTCCTTGAACACAGTGTAGCACCTGCTAGGATCGTCCATTTCAGGCTTTTGCCCGATCTGACCCTCCTTGGCATCGTAGCTCTTGACATACAGGGTGAGATCCGAGCCCACGGTTCCCCGCCAGAGCGTAGCCATCCACTGCCAATGATCCATTGCGCTATACGCGTCTTGAATGGGGATGCGGGACGCGTATACGACAGATGCATGGAGTTGGAAGGTAGGTAGGATGATGACGGGCTTTAGGGTCGCAGCGGGTGAGTCGCATAGCATTGCGGAGTCGTTGCGCGAGGTGGTGGTGTTGGTAGAAGCATCTTTGTCCGACATGATATCTTGGCAAGGGGAAGCGGCGGAAGAAGTAGTGGTGATATACTCAATCATCTCTTTGCTCTTGCCATGCCACTCCTTGATCAAGTCGAGATAATCGTCGAAAGTAACATCCTTGCCATCGTTGCCAGGAACTCTTGGTGGCTCGTTGATTTGGGGCTTGAACTCGCCTTGTTTGGCAAGGTGCTCGTTGAGCCATTCTGAAAGCTCCTTGACCGCAGCCAGATCGTCACCTTCGATAGCGATAATGGCGCCACGGCCTTCTTTACCAGATGGCATTCCCTCCCTGAGCTCCTTGTACGGAGGGGTTATGCGGCCAAGAAGCTTGATCTTGTTTCCGTACGCATAGGCGCTAAGAACTTCTTCTACGCTTTTAGGGCTGGAGCTGTGAGACGACGGTCCCACCTCCACTATCGAGAGCCTTCCATCACGAGGTGTGCGGGGAGGCGGCATGGTCGCGCTGTTCGGGGGCGAATACCGTATCTGAATGGGAGGTAAAGATTCGCGCCTGGCATACTGTGTCGAGGGAAAGTAGGGCCCATCTGCTCTGAGGCCGAGGGCAGGGTGTGGGTGTCCATATTCAAACCTTCGTTTCTTGTTCGGTGTAGAAGGGCTCGGGGCTGCTGAGTCGTCGCGTATCCCCGAAGTGACTCTCAATTTGAGGTGGTTGAGATTCGGAGGACCGTGACCCCGTGGGTGAACAGGTGACTCCATGCTAAGGTTGCCGATCACTGGTAGGTAGCGAGTTGTTGGTGTGATGCCTTCAGTGATATTAGGAGGGGGTAATATAGGGATACCAGAAGGGTCAAAATATGGACTAGTAGGCGTCTTGATACTGCGACCGCCACACCGTTGACAACGATATTTGTCAACAGTGGTATGCTGGCCAAAAGGATTCAGAGGCGATGAACCGGATTTGCCTATTCGACGCGGCTGATATCGGTAATCAGGATACTGTTCCTGGTGCCTAGCTTTCTCCTCCTAAACAGCATCAACATGAAGATCTGTAACAAGAAAAAGTTGCAATACTAACCTGTGCGAGGTCTTGCCAGATCTTCTTGCGCTCTTCAGGTTCAGTCTTCCACTGTTCACCAATGATCTTGGAAATGTCAGGGTTGTTGAGACCAGGGTTGCGTGCAATGATAGCCTGCTGGTGGTGCTGCCGATAGAGGATAAATGCTGTAAAGGGTGGTCAGCAGACTGCGCAAGCATCTTCTACAAACAAAGCAGTATTCTTTGTTCTGACTCGGACTCCGGATTATGACGATATAGTTGGAAGATAGACCGCTGCGAGACAAAGAGACATCTAAAACCCACCATTCCTGGGCCGGGGTATCTTTGGTTCTGGCTGACAGAGACAGACGTGGCCTACGAAGTCCGGAGACCCAGCAGTTGTTGATGTGGCACTCGGAGGTGGCTTCTCATCTGTCGGACTGCCAGATTCCTCGCTCTCAGATGCTTCCACAAGGCAAGCATGCCTTTTCCTTGTAGACCGAGGAGACGATGTGCCAGTCGGTGATGGATCGTCCTCGTAGTTGCGCTCGGTGGTAAGATTAGGCATTGAATTGGAGCGTGTCTCTTGGATCCGACTACTCTTGCGCAAACTCTGTGGGGGCTTCGCGGCATCTATAGGGGACTGTGGACAAATATGTTCCGTTTGCATTGTGGATTTGACGTAGCGCCTTGGAATGTTGAAGAAAGTTGCGGCGGAGAGTGGAAGTGAAGACGGAGGAGGTGAAGTCCGAACAATCGGTGGCAGCACTAGACTTGCTAACATTTTTTGGGTATTAACAACAAGATAGCTACGCTAATGAGCCTCCTCAAGGAAAGCCACGATTCATTGTCCCGCTTCTCAATGAGTACGGAGGCAACGAATTGGATCGACTACGCAATATTCTAGGTTTCTTTAAATGCACTATGCGACATGCGGACGCGTAGCTGTTCCGATCCAGTAAGATGATTGTTCCAGTCAAATGTAGTTGACCTCTGTTGGGAGTTTCTTTGTTCTCCAGTGTCCAAAAGCGGCAAAGGCCCTGTCCACCAATTCGCGAGACATCGCGGCACGCCTGCAGCCGCCATGCAAGGGATGATAACAATGTAACCCGCTCTTTGTCGGTAATTACCAAGTGACGCGGTCTCGGGAGATGTATAGAGATACTGCATATCGAGCCAACACACTATGCTACAAGCGGAGTGCAATATGTGCAGTGTCGCTGAGTATCAAGCACCGTTGTAGGGGCTTGGTCAAGTTTTAAAGAAGTGTCTTTAATGTCAATCCCTGGGACCCGGGACGCACCCCGAGATAAGACGGTTTTGCACTTCGGACCCTTGGAAAAGCAAACGCGCCAGTCAATAAAACCGTATTTAATATGCATAAGTCTGTACTACTACTAATTTAGTAGAGCAACCTCTAATTAAGCTTTCTTCGAATTTAAATATATCGCTAATTCTTTTCCTTAAGGGAATTTGTTTCCTCTTTACGATTAAACCTCTACCTAAAGGTAATTTTATATTTTTGTCATATATCTAGATATCTACAAAAGCAGCGCAAGCGTAAAAGAATCACAACAAGCAGTTCACTATAGACGCAAGGTACTTCAAACGCATGGCAGCTCTCTCTCTAGCTATTCCTCGTTATCGCATTCACTACGCTTAACCCTAGTTCAGTGTCTGGGCCAGCTGCTCCACAGAGGCCTGACAGGTATGCTGAAACCTTCTACAGGTAGTTTAACGTGCGTTCCCGGCACGTAAGGGACGGGCGTTATTTACAGAATGTTGGAGTATTTGGTATGAGTTCATTTGATTAGATAATGTTCCTCTTCTAAAGTTTAGCTATTTCATGAAGGAAACATTAGGATACTCTTTTTAAGAAAACAATGTGAAATATCATTGCTGGGTTCAGATTTGACCCATTTGGTGCCCAACTACTATATTAGTAAATCAACATAGTGTAACTATTAAGCAACACTAACTAGCCTTTAGGATTATTAGCGAAGGCTGTTCTTTTTATTAAGATCTGGATATGAAACATTCGCTTCAGTTAAGATTAGGGGGATATATTTCTGGTGGATTCTGTGCATAGCGAACTATTAGGCCGGGATACATTACTTCTCCGGGTAGGACGCAGTTCTAAAGTGAATAAATAGTTAATTTATATAATTCTATTAAAAGAAGTATTTTCTACTAAAATGAATTAATTAGATAACTTTACTTATGTAGAAACAATCCACTCCTGTAAAAAGAGCTAGAGCAGCCAATATTCTGATCTTATAATGTATCTTCAATCATAGTTAAAGAGATTTTAGGTCAACAATATTTAATAAGGTCGTTAGAGATACAAACTTGGATTACTAAATGACTTTGTAGATGTAAGTCTTGGGGACACTTTATACTTGTCTTTTTTTCGAAGCCCCTATTAACTGGAACATACTACATATACGCTATGGTCTATAATCGGGTAATCAAAGGTTATTCATTTTCTTCAAGGTTCTAAATACGAGAAAAATGTCCAGTTACGTTCAAAGTTGACTCATCTAATACCCGTTACAGAGAGGTAAACACTAACGGCGGTGTAACACTGACTAGAAAGAAAACTCTAATCAATTGTAGACCAGGGGAGGGCCGATACAGGTACAATGCCGCTGTATTATTTCTTAGTATAGCGACGGCATCGGCGTCTTCATGTAGCGCAAACAGCGCTGGCAGCCAAGGTCGCGTTGCGCTCGGAAGACTACGATCGCTTGATCTCAAAGTACCTCCCGTCTGTCTCGAAACGGGGTGCGTCTTGTGTCTTAGGAATGAACGTTGATACAGCTTGCTAGTATCCGGGAGGAAATTTGAGTGTGAAGTGCTCAGCCTCTTGTTTCTCAGGTTTCTCCTTGTCGTCGGAGCCCTGCGTCTGTTGCTCCCGGTCCACAGATTGGTTTCCGCGGATGAGGCTGACGGCTTGATTCCCTATTAGTGTGTGGGCCGGACCGCTGAGTTGAACGTCATCCCTTTTATTTGGTCAGCTTGAGACAGTGCGTTTGTGTTGTGAGTGACCCACCAAAATAGGTGCTCAGCTGGCGTGGAGCATTTTTGAACGTCGGATGCTTGCAGACTGCCCGCACTTCCCCGCTGCGAAGCTAGACATGGTTGCTCAATGTGCTCAAAAAGAGGCGTTTGTTTGCCAACACCAAACGCATCCGAGAGTTGTTTCGAGTGAAGTTGCTTGGCCCGGACCTCTTGCATGATCGCCTCGTTCGCCTCTGGCATGTACACTATACCGTTCTTCCAATTCTTCGCAGTCCGATGCAAAACCAGATTCCAATAAGACCACAAGAAGATGAGTCGGTGCTGATTCTCCGCGAATTGGGCCTCGCGCAAAGCTTTCTTCTTCATCTGGAACCGAGGTAGGAAACTAACGTCAATCATCTTCGGGATGACGACCTTGGGTGGGAAAGGGGCGTCTGCAGCCAACACATCAAGTTGGTGAAATAATGATGTGATGCTTTTATCAATTGCGTACATTGCAATACTCTTCTCCAGTGTCGAGTACTCCAGAAGGTCCCAGAGGCCAAAGTAGACTGCGAAGAATGTCCACTCATCCTCTTTACGTAGGCGTTGCGGGATGAGCTGTCTTCCTTTGTTGTATGCGACAAACTGCTCCACTTGTGCCTTGAAGTCAAACGACATGACAGCGCTACTATTGCTTTCTGAGCCCATGGCTTCCACATAGACTGCAGCGTCAACCAAAGCACCAGTCTGTGCCCCATCAGCCGCCGTTGGCACTGAATGTGCGAAGTTGTCAACAGTATCACATTCGAGCTATAGTTTGTGTCAGGCCACGACTTCTTCAGAACATGTGGCACTTACCTCTTTGCATAATGTCTCTACCCACAAATCGCCTCGATCCGCGTCGCGAGCAGCGATAGCAGATAACGCTGGCGACGAGACACGGTAACTGCCAGTGTCGGACCAATCATTGCCAAACACCACGATGCGATGCGCACTTTCACGCCATACGGTATGTACAGTTTCCTCAAAGCCGGCTGAGTTCATCCAAGTGATGTACAAAATCGTGAAAATAGCAAGGGCAGCACATACGTGCAGCCTTGACACGAACCGCATTGTGTCGCCGATCAACCCCTGGAAGTAGATGAGAGACCGAGGCAGTAGGGTATTGACGATGCGAGGTGTCTAAGGAGATCCAGGTCGAAGACAATGTTTTGTCGAGAGATAGGCTGCTGTACGCGGCAATAAGCAACGCCATTGCAGCCAGCGAGCAAGCAGCATGACGCGTCGGTGCAGAACGAGTCTTGCTGTGGATATCGACCCCGGACGAACAGGGGTCACAAGCACGATCCTACAACCAAAAGTGGGCATGTGTCGCGTGTGTAGCAACAGTCTCAGCGCTACCAAGGCATGCTTGCTGTCAGTCAATGAACATGCTCACAGCCTGGGCGATTCGCCACCCACCCCTGTTCTCAGATCAGACTCCTGAGCCATTGCTAATGCTCCAATACCATGTATAGACGTTGTGCGCTTCAGGCCACAATCAATAAGACATCGGTAGCTTGCACGCGTGGTTGGTGCGGGTTGCTCGGCATCAAGGCCCACTTTGTGGCGTAATCTGTGGGGCGTACGCCTTGAATCCTTACGTATATATCCATAACGGGCAGAGATGAGTGGAGGAAACACCATGCGAAGCCACTTATGCCAGGCACGCTACGCTGCTAAAACTCAATGCGCCATCCTGTCTGCTGTGCAAGACCCGGTTAGCCATAACGCCAGCCATCACCCCGCTTGTACCGTTCGCTCTTCACTGAACTTCAGAATCGAAAACCTTTTCATAAGGAAATCTCGCGTTGCTCCCGCATCACCAATCCATTGTGCAACCACAAATGCCTTTTCCGCCCACCTCTTGGCCTTTTCATCGTCCTCCTGCACATAGTAGTCGATTGCGCGATTGAATGCGGTGGTCGCTAGCCACTCCAACTCCGTCTTGGGATAGCGCTCGGTTTCCTTGGTCATCTTGTTAGCCAAGTCTGCAGTATCTTCATCTCTGCATGATCTCAAAGTACTGGTGGCATGCCTAACATTAGGGTGGTAGTGATAGGCTATTATCGCAACGGGTGCAGAAGAGTATAGTGACAGTACTAGGAAACTGGAGACTCACGCTCTGCTTTGTCGCCGCGATATGTGTAACTTGGTCGATGCATCTGAGACTAGATTCATCATCAAACGGAAGTGAGAGGCTGAAAAGGCATCGGAGCCATCGAGATAATCTTGGCATATCGCTACCTGGTTGTCGGCTAACCAGATTGACGATCTTCTGGAGAACAGATAGTACTTCTGTAGGGTTCATTAGCCTAGCTCTGACAATGTTTCTTTATAGTCGGCTCACTTTTCTGGTACTTGACGTCTAGTTCTGCCTGTACAATGCACTGATGGATGACCAAAGTAAGGTCGGCCAATGTTTCGTAATGATCTGGGTTCTTATATACCCAGCATTGATCAAAGAGCTCGTCAAGCTCATCCCATTTCCGAAGTTTTAGTGCAGCTTCAAGTTCCAACTTGACAACCTGGAAGTGTTTCGAGATTATGTCGGCTTTAGCAGACTGACCGAGCCCATTCATGGTTTCTGATACGGCGCGTCGGAAGTTCTGACTATGTTTGCGAACCTCCAAGTACTGTTGGGCCTATGCATGTCGTCATTGTCGATCTAATCTTCAGACGTACACTGAGTAAAACTTACATTTTGCTCAACATTATCCTCCGCACGCGCCAAAGTAATCCAAGTACAAGCAGCGAGAAACTCACAGAAGAGCAACCGAAGACTTAGATCGCTACTCGTGTTTGAGCTGCCTTTTTCTTTGAGTAGTTTGATGAACTAAGGGTCGTCAATATCTTCTTTTCACATGATGACGGACTGTACTGACCTCTACACAGCAATCAAGGAGCCTGATGAGGTGTGCTGGGGGCATTTCAGCACAATATTTTAGTGATAGATTGTAAGAGTTCTTAGAGAACCATTGGAACTCTACATCCGTGAACAGCTCTTTGGCAGGAGTGCTTGGCCTAGTTCGAGATGCCTTGGCTTGATCACAGGCTTGCTAGTGTTAAATGAGAGTCTTTACATCAATTGTTCTCACATACCTGCTTCGAATGACTCACAAAGCTGGTCTAGAATTTCCGTATCGATTTTACCATCGTTGATGAGTTCAGATTGCAGCATACGCGTAGTTGATCTGCTAATGTAAGAAGCTGCAAGCCTTTTCGGAGTAGAAGACTGACCGCAGAAGTGCAGGTAAATGTATACCTGTTGTAGCACCATTCTGGTATTTGTCGAGAACGTTTCGTAGGGCATTGATCGCTTGTCTCTTATTTCCTGCTCTCTGGGCTTCCATCACACAAGCATAAAGAAGTGTCGCGTCCTTAGCAGAACTTCGACAGATATTATTCAAGCATTCAGCAGCTACATCATCAGTAAAGGAAGTGATCACCGCTAATAAATCACTTACCAAAATCTGCATCTCCGCTTTGTAATGCTACCTTGTACATCAGATACCGTGTCACTGGTTCATCTCTACCAGTTTCAGTCATCCGAGCGTATGCACTCCTAGCCGCCTCGTAGTCTCGGCGAGTGAGAGCGCACTGGATGATCTTCCTACACTTTGTGAATATCTTAATAAGTAACAAAAACGATCTGTAGTACCTTGACACTTTGGCTTGATTCTGTACCCCGGCCTTCTCGAATATAGGATGAAGGCACATGTGGCACCATGCTTCGGCCATTTTGTGTTTCTCTTGACCTGCTGCCAATTCCACACACTTCCATAGTAACTGCATGTTCAGATCAATGATAGGTTCAGTAGTGGAGACATGTAGAGCCTACCGTTTGCGCGGCATGTGTAGCAGGCGCAGAGATTGGAGTTGGCAAATTTTGTGAGACGACGTCGAAGCGATACTGCAGTTTCTCAAGTACGTTCTCAGAGAAGTTTCTAGTGGTACCAATCCAGATCCGTGTGATGATAGCTTTCTCAATCCATTGTTGATTTTCTTCTCGGAAGAGGCGTATATCTATCAAGTCATCGAGTGCCTTGATGGCTGTAGCATTGCTTCATGAAGTCAGTGATTGAATACACATGTCAGATCGAGTGCGCACTCGTGTTCATTTAGTTTTTGTATGTGATGCATGAGTCTACTAGGAATTAGCTAGATCCATGGGTATGCAAATTAACCAGGCATCGTTCGGGTCACATACGCCTTGAAATTTGTTTCACTGAGAACGATGGTACGAATCATACGTAGAAGAACTGTCATTTTTAGCAATTCGATTTTGGAAAATTCCGGGGCCTTACCATTGTAGAACTCGGTAGTATCAATCTTTTCAGTTTCGGAAAGTAACTCAAGTTTTAGCAGCAAGACTCCCATCTTATCTCCGAAGTCCTAGAACCTTCTTAGGGCCATATCAGAACAGGCGATAGATAGATCTTACAGTCTCCATTAGCTTCACCATCTGCCATGCCTTGTCTTGCGTCTCGGGTGTCTCTATTTTCATGTATGCCTGGACTAGCGCATATATCAGCTGGAGTTTCACAAGAGCTGTTCTAGATTGTACCAGTGGCTTGCATGATGCTAAGTCTCAGCTCTCCTACTTCCGGACTGAGCATCTCCAGGTCTTGTCCGTCAAAGATGTCGTGTGCTCGTTCCAGCCACCGAGACGCCAAATTGTAATCGCGCTTCGTTAAAGCACCTTTTCCGATTTCATAAAGTAGGTCTGCGAGGATTTCGGCTGTTGTAGGTGCGAGTGTTGTTATGAGCTGCTTGCATTTGATGAGCAAGTGCTCTGCGGTATCCATGCGATCTTGACGCCATGCCTGTAACATAGTGAGCTATACCTAGCAACTGCAAAGGAGTTCACTTTGAACACAGCTGAGATTACTCACCAAGGTCATTCGAACTGCAAAGTACTGAGCTCTTAAGTCATCTGCAAGCTCCTTCTCCTCTCTACGCTTGTCTTCGCCTTCTTGACTCAGGACATCTTGATAGTCCGCAGCACGTTCAAGCACTTTAGTCGCTGTGGTCAACTCATCACCTTGGATACACACCCTAGCTGCTTTCAGCGCGACCTTCATAAGACGGATGCAGTTCTTGCGCTGGCGGTGTTTTGTATCGTGACCACCGGCGGAGTCGAGAAGCAAGAACGAGAAGGCGCGCAGGAGAGACAGAGTACGCTTTCGGTTAGCAGTAATATCACTGGATCGAATAGTCACATCTGTTTCGTCGCGTCGCAGTCTTATTGTCAGGTTCCATAGCTCGGTGCCAAGCCGGTCAAGCTCCTCTTGCTTCGCGAGGACTGTAGAGGAGGCTTGGAGGGGCAGGGTGCGAATATGAGACTGTAGATCATCTGCAATTGTAGTATCGTCACCGCCTTCGACCCTCTGGATGAGTGCTGTGGCGAAAGCTATGCACTCGTGAGTGCTCTATTCAATCAGCTTTGATCATTATACTCACCGAGTACTGCTTTGAGCTTATTTTCGCGCTCTGCTTTTGCTATAGACTGGAACGACGGCATGACTGCACATGGTCAATAGAACATGCGGTGTGATGAAAGAGGATGATGGGGAAGGTAGTAAGGTAGTAAGGCTGGCAGGATGTGACTCTCACTTGGAAGCTAGCTGTGCGATCACGAGGAAGGTACGGTTCACGTCCACAGCACAAGCTTTGTTTTGAAAAACAGAAAGAACTAGAATACAAGGAGCCCAAACGCATCACTAAAGTCAGATATGGATATCTTTCGCACCTGCAATCACACCACCACATATGCACGCAACCCTCCAGTCAATTAATCCATGAAACGTATGTTATGTGTCACATCATATGCGCGCAATCTCCACAACTCAGCAGCTCCATCGTACAGTTTTGAATACAGAAATCATACCAAAGTACTATGACGCAGGTAACGGGCCAGAGGTAGCCTCGGTTATAGGAAGAAAGTTGCCGACAATCAGCGCGGGTCTAATGATTGTCAGTATAGAATATTGTAGAAAGGGTACATATACTCACATGTTCCACGCATCTCGTTTGACAGTGAATGAGAAACAGCAACGTATTTCGGGATCCTTGGAGTTCGGATCAGGATTTTTCAGCGAGCAGCTCGTCAGAATAGCTTTCTGAGTGTGATCGAATGCGATTGCACCAAACTTTTCCCAGTATGATACCAAGGATGGCTCAGCAATGATCTCATGTAAAGCAATGTTACCCTTGATGTGTCAGTACCTATCGACTCAGTGGGGATAAATAAGAAACCTACGTCTCGTAGCTTTGACATTGGTACGTGAATGAGCCGTGCCATTTCCTTGTTGCCTCGGTAAATCTCGCCTGTTCTTCGCCAACAACAAGCTGGAATAGCCATGCTCGCAAACACACGATCGTACTCCATCAAGCTCTTATCGAACCACATCTCGATACGCACCAAGTCTACATCGGTCAGACTCTGCATCCGTTCTCGAAACTTTGGACGGAAGCGATCGAGTTGGCGTAATACTCTGACGCGGGATATTTGCTGCAGATTCTGCTCCATGTACTGGTTGAGTCTTGCGTAACCCTTAACATAGTTGAAGGGCTTCAATAGTCCTGCATCTACTTTTGCCTTGAGTAGTTTGTTCATACGCTCTTCCGGGCTATCCGATCCGGCCGGGTCAGCGGCTGTTATGAGGTATCTCTCTCTTGCTTTGTCAATAGGCACCCCGCCTGCGGATCGTTGTGCTGTATTAGCAGCAGCATTCTGCGCAGGTGGTGGAAGCAGCTGTTGTTGCCTTGATCCAGTAGGATTGAAGGTAGAGTTGCTGTTTAGAGAGCCCATTGGATTCATAAGAGAAGCGTCAGAAAAAAGAGAATGAAAGTCATTGCCTCCGTAGAAAGCACCGTCGTCCATGAGGCTGTTGTTGAGAAAGTCGTTGAGCAGGTTATACTCATTGCTCACTTCTGAGGTATTGAACATATACGAAGGATGGAAGTGCATGTCCTGAAAGTTGTTCTGTGACGATGAAAGCAAGCCATCATAGTTCCCAACTTTAAGGCTGTCAGTGACGATGAGAGCTTGGGGCTGAAAGAAGTGTGACTTACAGGGCTGATTACTAGCCGTCAAAGCAGGCGGCTGTGGCGCGGATACGGGGTCGGATTGAGTACCTGATGCCGTGCTTGCATCTCCATTGGGGGGCAGTTGATGCGGTGCCAGGTTGAGTCCGGCATCTGGAGCAGTGGGCTGCTGGAGAGTGGCGGCTGGTGCTGCTTCGGACGTGGCGGGTTCGATTTGAGGAGGCTGGCTCTGTCCTTCGCCATTGTCTGGCTCGGACTTGGCCTTCTTGACACCTTCTCGAGGCTCATCACGACACAGATGGCCAATGTTTCGCTTGACACAGCGTGTGCATGGTCGTTCCTATGCTCGCATAAGTCTAACCGTGCCTACAAAACATGAAGAAGATGGTGATGAGTATACTCACGAGATCACAGGTCATGTGCTGGTTGGCATGTGGTCAGCAAGCAGTAATAATTGTCGTACACGCATCAAAGTGCCATGTGTCAAATGCTGGTGTACTGGCTATGGCTTACCGAACGTCTGCAGTAGATGCATGCTACATTGGAGCGTCAAAAGTCAGCAGGGCTGTGGAGACGGGTGGAGATGCACTGCATTCAAGGCCTACCATGATTGACCTTTCTTCGCTTTTTCGAGGTCTTTGCAGGCGCCTCGGGGCCGGTCGCATTGGCCTTGGTCTTTGAAGGAGAGGCGCTCTTTGGCGCATTTTGTTCGGAAGCAACATTGGCCTTGTCAGCCTCACCGTGTTCCGTCATGGCGACTGGAGAAGATCCATTGGATCGTCGTGCAGCTTCCGTCATCCAGTACGGTAAGTGGGTGGGTCGAAGCCGGATGCTTTTCTTGGAGATGCGCGGGCTTGATTGGTGTCACTACAGGGATCTCGTCACGCACTGCAGCATCGCATGAAGCAGCGAAGGTCGACAAGCGCCAGAAGCCGCGACCTTTGTTGCACGGACGAGTTTGTCGTGGCGGAAAACGCGTGGCGGAGGTGTATTGTTTTAAAGACACGAGGGCCAAGTGAATGTCTGGTCGCGTGCTTTGCCGAAGCGAAGGAATATTCCGGAATAACACCACTGCTACGCAACCGGCGGGGGAGCTGCGCCGCCCACCCTGTTAGCCGACCGTTTGGCAGCTACTTGGCCCGCCCATGGCTTGTTTTTCTTAAGAGGAAGAATATCCAGCTCACGCGTTGCTCGCTACAGCGCTTCATCTGTTGTGTTTTGCACGAGTTTGGCACGAGGCACGGTAGCTGCAGGTGTGGTTCTGCGGCGATATGAGAGCCAGCTGGAGCCAATCACCTTTGGCACTTTGTTGCTACACTACATGAAAGCATTGAAGCTACCAGAGTCCCCCCATGCACGTTTTCCGATGACCATTCTGTCGGATCCCCCTCAGCTCCAAAACTGGGGGACATGGGGGTGGATGCCGAAAGTCTTGCAGTTTCGTTGAGCCCTACGCCCAACCTGCCACGGCCTCTTACGGGCCGTCTTCGTATACATGTGCTCGAAATATAGTAGTGGTAGCAATCGTAAAACCCGCCCTGAAGTATTGGATAAACGCCGACCCCCACAGACGCCACTTGTTTCCCCAAGGCTGTCTTATGCGCCTAGTATGTTTGCATTACCTTGATAAGGAAAGAAACCCCTTGTCCCGGATCCGCATCTCAATATTTCACAAGTTGGCATACTGTGCAGCATTGGCATGCCGAAACAGGACATCATCTAGCGCAGCTTGTGCATTGCCTATTGCCGTATCGAGGCCCTCTACTTGGGTATGATTGCTCTGCATGTTCTTTAGGCTGCGCTTCAATTGTTCAAGCACCGGACCGAGGTCGGAGTCGGGCGAGTCGAGGGACGAAAGATCTACTGTGCTTTGTGGTTTTAAACCAATATCCTCAGGGCCGTCGCCATCAGTAGTGACCTCGTCACCGGGTTGGAGCAAGGGGTGGAGCTACTGCAAGTCAGCGATCTTTTCGTCCAAACAGCAGGAGACTGCCACGTACGCGTCCATGCTTCCGCTGGTGTTTCCACTCAGTCCTCCACGTCTTTGCGTTCTTCTTCATCAACTCCAGGTATTCTTCGTCCTTGCTAAGCAAGTGCTCGGCAATCTTGATCTGCTCACTGAGCAGTTGCTTCGAGTGTCGCGCAGTAGTGACCTCTCGCGATACTTGGGCATTGCGCTCCGTCAGCTTATCGATGTTGAAGTGTATGTCTTTGGCTTGAGGAGGGATCCGCGACTCGGCGAGTTGGCGTGATAGTCTTCGTACAAGTGGGTTGAGCGTGTTGTATGCAGCCATGACCTTCCGCTCGTCCCGCTGTGTCTCAGCTGTGTCCTTCTTCGCATTGCGCACCACGGCAAGGATCTGCTCCAAGACCTGAGGTGATATTTCTGGCCATTTGTCGACTTGGTCGCGTGTGATTCTCCTTGATTTTGCCTCGAGCCGTAGATATTCCTTGCGTGACTGGGCTTCTGGCTCAGCGGCGGCAGCGGCAGTGTCGTCAGCTTTGCGCTTGCGAGGTTTTGGTTGGTTTGATGGAGCTGGTTCGATTAGGGATAGCTCATCTTCGGCTTCTTGTGGCTGCTGTTTGGCTGAAGGTTTCCTCTTCTTTGCTGTACCGGGCTTTGGCGCTGGCTTCGAGCCGATAGCGGAATTGCGACTTCCTGGTGGTCTGCCCCTCCGTTTCTTTTTGACTTCCTTATTTCTAGAGCGCGTAGGCGCCTATGCTGGGTCAGCATGTACACACGTCAGAGGACTTATCCGCGCTTTACCATGATGACGTTGTGTGGGAATAGAGACGCGTCGACGTAGTGTTGACAAGCGCGTTTGGTGGGGAAGAGGCCGAGTAGCGTGGGCGCCTCTTCACGTGCGTCCAAGTCACCTTCCCTCCCCTCATATCATCATAATCACATGCAATATGCAATAACAGTGTCACAAAGCAAATACTGAAAAACATTCTGTATATTCCAACCATCTTGTCTACATGGATAGGCCAGGTTTGTTGCTCTTGTCATCCACCCTCATCGCCTTTCCAATAACTACGACGCAGGTGCGCTCAACACCTCTGTCAGATTGACTACAGTCGCCGAAAACGGAAGGCCACTTCCCTGGGTGAAAGTACTATACCTTTCTCCACCATAAATCAACAGGTGCTCCGGCCTGTTCTTCAAGATCTGGATGGCACGCGAATATACCACTGCAGCAGGCGTAGCATGCTTCTCCCATTTGTCTACAGCGCCGCCGTGCGTATTGGTGAACACCTGGCTGTCTGACGCATCAGAGACCACGATGGTGCCATTGGGGCCTCCATGAGAGCTCCAGACCACATACGGACTGGACCCGGGCGCACGATCATCAATGACGATAGGCTGGCCAACGTTGTCGCCAAATTCTACAGGAGAGTCGGCCAGAACGTAGTAGACGGGGTAATTGACACCAAAGACCGTCTTTCCAAAGCCCTGTTCGTGTACAAGAATCCACTTTTTGATGGGTGGAATATATGTCACGACCGTCATACCACTACGATCAGCGACCTCATCGTAAGCTACGTCGTCAACAACAGGGCCCCACGTCTTCAGATCGGAAGACACTTGATGAGAAAGCTTTTGGCTGTGATTGGGGTCACGTTCATCCGAGTAGTAGGCTATCAATTCGCCTTTGTATTGCCTCGAGTCATTGTCAGCCTCCAACTTGCTAAGACGCAAGATGAGCAAGACTCACAGAAGATATGGCTCCCAGATTGCCTTTTGTGAGCCGAGCTCTTAACCCTAAGCAATATAACTCACAAACTCCCAAGTCCTTGCTGTGTCTCTACTAGCGTATAGGTCAATTCTGCTGAAGTTTTTACCCCAAACGTTACCGCTGGCCAAGATAGTGCCAGCCGCGTAACCCCCCATGGCCTCCGTCAATACCGTTAGGGCAGGCTGGTTATTTATGCCCAAACCATCGATGCTGTTCAAATTGGAAATGTGCTTCCATTTAGCGCCGCCATCCTTCGACTCGAAGATGGGCTGGTAACCAGGTGTGTGACCTAGAAGCCATGTAGTTGCAATGATAGTCCCATCATCCAATTCAGTATAGCGAGGGTATGTCATGGACTCATTGCCAGTGGGCTTGTAGATGATGTTGTCCACGAAGAAGCCCCATGGTTTAGGGTCGCTGGTATTGAAAATCGAAGGATCGAAAGCAACGACATTGCTAGCGAAAATAGCGGCCATGGCCAGAATATCCGGATAGAGCTTCATATTTGTGGTATTATATTTTGCTTTGGAAGTTCAAGTAATCGCTGATAGAAAGGAATCAAGATATGTTTCGCAGGCCACGACCAGTTTTTATACTTTCTATGTTCTTTCACCAATTTTTGCCACACAAAGAATATATAATTTCGCAATACACATACTCAACGGGGTCTCATTGAGGTCTTACTGTGATTTTGGTCAGACGGAATGGTCTAATTACCTAGCTGCTGGGGGATAACGTTCGCATAGAGTGTTGTGATAGTCTAGGGCTGACACAACGGGACTTCCGCAATGTCCCATCGGCCCGAGTCCATCACAGTGACTTACTTGGGTATTCTGCATCTTTCTGTCTGAAGTATCGGTGTCACCTTGAGAATATGTATGGCTTTAAGTCTTGTTGTCATTCTTGTACCTACCTGTAAACGTTTCGCACAAACATGGTTAGCCTCTGTTGACTCTTAGCACATCCTTGGCCAGTTGGCATGTATCCACAATGGATCTTTCAAATGCTTACTTCTATGCAATATAAGTAAGTGTGAGTGAGTTGGTGATATACCCGGCAGTTGGTCCCAGGGGAGCAACAGATAATATCACACATGCATCTTGACTACGCATTAGACCTATTAACCGGCGGATGAAACTTGCAGTCTCTACCATCTGCATACAGCCATCAAACTTTAAAAAGTATGGGGTAAACGTGAGCTGTATGCTTATGCTGTTGAAGGGGGAAATCGTCCTCTTGCCTAGACTTGTCAGGCTTCAGAATGTTCCTGTCCCGCATCTCATCACGGGAGGATCGGTAAATATCACCGATAGGGTTCGCTCAAATGCCAATGCGCCGATAGAATTGGATTAGACTGCCCCTAATCACCTCATACATACACTACACAGTACTGTGTAAGAGTGCGGCTGCTTACCCGCATCCTACATCGCGTACTGCTTAGCCTCAAGAGGTACCAAATGTATTCCACTGTAAAGAGTGAAAATTCTCAGTCTTCTATGTAATACTCACTGGCTTTTACAGTGGTTGCAGCTATTCTTTTGCTATGGTTCTGGTTGATGTCATACAGGCAGCTTTTAACCGGCTCGTTCGGCACACCTGGAGCCCCCGTACTAAGAACCGAGGAAAGCACAACCAGATTGGCTGTGGAACAGACGTGAATAAGTCGAATAAATTTAGAGTCGTGTCTTGTAGTATTCGAGTTTTGGATGTTACCTTCGTAATCCTAGCAGATTTTGCCGATGGCTCAGCGGATTTCTGGCCATCGCTTACACCTTGGATGTTGACCATGAGCATGACGAAACCCCAAGACTCGAATTTGCCGGTATGGAACACTTTTTCTGTATTGGGTCGCTAGCATTGGCGGGGAAATTTAAGGGGGACAGCTGGCAAAGTGTGATGCCTGTTGTTTTGTTTGGTAATCAGCCACCGGCCTTTCTGTTTCTGTTTTCGCCGTTTTGCGCGTGCTCGAAATACGGAAACAGCTGCCAAATGGTGCAGAGGTGCGACGAAAATGGCCCGACAACTCGGGCAATCTTTCCGCTTGGAAGCGGGGAAGCACTTGATGGTAAAAAGTCACGTGACTTTCTGTGGCTAGTATGTGGCTATGGGCCTTGTTTCAGCCACATAAGGTGATCGACACCGCCCGTGTTCATGTCAAAAACTTGGAAGTCCAACCCGGAAGCGGCAGTTGAGCAGGAATGCGGGGGGTGCGTAAATGGCTTGCAGAATTTCTCCACTCTATTCTTCCGTGAGAAGCACATTGCCTGCATAAACGTGGAGACTAACACAAAAACAAGACTTCTGGAGGCACTCCGAGGAACTGCCGGCTGTCCAAGGCTCTTGGCATCATTTACTCGAAGTGCTATGGGACCCTCTGACTCGGAATTCTCTATCCTCTGAGCTTTCCAATTGGTTTCGGAGCTCGTATCTTGACTAACCTCTGTCTTTATTTCAGTGTCAAAAAGTCTTGGTATGAGGACTGAGCATAAATCCCGATAGTAGCAACCCTCCTGTTCCATAGTGATCTACTCTCTAGAAACAGTGGCGTGAATGTTTCAGTCTGGAGAAAATGTGGGGATTTCAAAATATACTTAAAGGCCGTTGAGGTTCAATAGTCGTAGAAACACCAGCACGAAACTCAGAAACAAACAACAAGCACTTCACGATGCTTCGCCCAGCTTCTATCTTCGCACTTGGTGCCCTTCTCTTCCTTTCACTTCTCGATTCTGTGTCCGCTGCGACAGCTGGCTGTGGAAAAACCCCAAGACTGAACAGTGGTGTTCACACCATCACAGTCAACAACAAGCAGCGCCGCTACACTCTTCGCGTGCCTCAAAACTATGATAACAAGCGTCAATACCGCTTCATCTTTGGCCTGCACTGGCTCAACGGTGACATGAACGCGGTCGCTAGTGGAGCTGCTCCCTACTACGGCCTCGCTGCTCTTGCCGGTGAGAGCACCATCTTTGTAGCCCCAGACGGTCTCAACAGGGGATGGGGAAACCAGAATGGAGAGGACATTGCCTTCCTTGACGCAGTCAGGAAGCAGATTGACGACGAGTTCTGTGTCAACGAGAAGCTCCGCTTCTCCCTAGGTTTCTCCTACGGTGGTGCCATGTCCTTCAGCCTGGCTTGCAGCAAGGCGGCTGACTTCCGAGGTATTGCTGTCTTGTCTGGTGCCACCCTCTCTGGATGTGCTGGCGGCAACACCCCCATTGCGTTCTACGGTCAACACGGTGTCAAGGACAGCGTTCTGCCCATCTCTTCCGGAAAGCAGATCCGTGACCGCTTTGTCCAGCTTAATGGATGCCAGTCTAAGAACGCACCCGACCCATCGCCCAACAGCCGCCAGCGCGTCAAGACCGTATACGATGGATGCAAGTACCCAACTCAATGGACTTCCTTCGATGGAGATCACGTCGCGCTTCCCGGAGATGCAGGAAACGATGTTGGCGCTCAGAGCTTCACACCCAAGGAGGTCTGGGCCTTCTTCAGCCAGTTCACCTAAGGCAACAATGCTTCGGTTGGACAGGAGCAACAAGACATACTCAGCTGTTGCACAACATAACTTGTCGACTTTGGACTAAATCGACATACGCGAGGGAAAACACTACATAGAAAATCTGTATATACAAAGTAGATGCTCGCTTTCAAAATTCAATGTACATATGAACATCAATATTCACCTTCTGACTGCTCTTCTTCCGATTGTTCTACTTCTGCATCGCTCACCACGTCGCTTAGTTCAGCACTCTCAGCGTCACTCACACCACTGCTCTGAGCATCACTCTCGTATTCCTCAGTCACCCTCTTCTTTTTCCTTGAAGTTTTTGCGCTTCCTCCCTTTGGGCTTGTGCCGAAATCTTTGCGGCCGCCTGTCCTCTGGACTAGATGTTCGATTGGACAGCCCTTTTCCCACCCTTCGCTGCTCTCACCCGTGATTGCTCGACATCTTGGGCACGTTTTCCCATGCTTTATAAGTAACTGGTGTAGTGGGTACTTCAGATGGTCTGGTACTCTGACTTCGCAGTGAGCGTACGTTGAATTGCGTGTTGGACCAGCGAAAGTGCCTTTCGCACCTGGAGCAAGACCCCTGGAATCGCCTGGCGGGGGTACCCAACCTAGCCATTTGCAGAGTCGGAAGACGTGCGTATCAACAGCGAATGAAGGTCGTTGAAGGCAAAAGAGAAGTACACACGATGCTGTCTTGGGTCCAATACCAGGGTACTTGGTAAGGGCGTTGAAGGCATCGTCATTTGAGAGTAGATGCAGATGGTCCAGAGAGATGACATCCTGGCTTGCCTTTTCGATCTCTGCGCTCTTCTCCTCTTCCGCCTCATTGGTGGAACCTGGCGCTTTGTCACACGGAGATTGAAGCTCTTTCCGTCGCACCTGATTTTCTTCCCAGACCATTTCCAGAATCTTCTTGATATCCTTGCTTTTGACATCGGCTAGTCCACCACTCTTGATTGCTTCAAATATCTCTTTCTGGTCTGCTTGGCGCACTTTGTTCCAGTCTACGCTGCCTTTGCCAATACCTTCTTTCAAAATTCCAAATTTGGCAACAAGGCCTGCAAAAGCGCGGGATGAATTTGTTCCAGACGTTGCAGCAGAAAGACGTGTTCGTATAAGAGCGTCAAGGACTGAGGGTACTTCTCCGCACCCTGAGACATCGAGCGATGGTGTGGGAATGGTCTTCGGAGCTTCTACCTTGCCGTGTACTTTCGACAAGAGACGAGTGACTTCTTCACATTCTTCTGCAGTTGGATGTGGGTAGTTTGGATATGGCGTTTGGCCGGGTGTAAGGCCATAACTCCCAGTCTTACCCTTGCTCTTCTTGTTTGGAGTTGTAGTGGTTGCTTTGTCAACAACGTCGCCAACGTCCTCTTTCTTCACACTCGCTTTCTTGGTTGCTTTTTTTGTCTTCTTTGCCGAGTCTCTTTTGATGTCATCATCGTCTTCTTGCTTGACTGGAAGATTTGGAATAGCACCAAGGTTGTGCGGAAGGTCGTTGATGTCCTCTTGCTTTACTACAGATTTCTTGGCTCGTTTGGCGCTCTTGGGTGCAACAGGCGTATCCTTGGTCTTGGTTTCTGGTGAGCCTTCCGCCTTGATAGCTTTCCTCTTTCGGGAGTTGGGTGCTTCTGGTGTCGTAGGTGGACTGGAAAGTTGTACTGAATCTTTACCAATGACTGATAGTACTTGTGCAGCTCTGCCTTTTGCGGCAGAGCTCCTTGTAGCTCGTACCATATGGGATGAGCGTGTTGATTGTGAGAAATGGATTGCGCCCCTGAAGGTACCTGGCCGCGATGCCAGAAGAAGCCTGACTAGTATTTCGAACGCATTAGTGGACACAATCGTCGTGGTAGGAGCCAGAAGAGTAACAATTAGAAGGTACCTTTTTATACGTCTCCAAATCAGAGAGGGCAGTGGATTATAGAGTGAATCGCCACTGGATAGTGCTAGATAGGTCATGACGTCGATGATGATGATTGGAGCTCGGACCCTTGTTCCTGCTTTAGCGTGCAGGAAGACACGCCGAGGCCCACATGGTCCCGAGTCTGACTGCTTCCAGCTACCCCACGTACCGTCTGCTGTCGAGACGTTACTCTACACCCCCACATAGTTGACTTCAGCATGGCTCACAAAGCACCTCTAATCGTCCCTGCGCTCAAGCGACACACCGCTACGGTCATCGTGGCTCATGGACTCGGAGACAGCGGGGCTGGCTGGTAGGAAGCGCTCAGTAACGTAACATGATTCTGTACACTCTGACAAGTGTAGGATATTCCTCGCAGAGAACTGGCGCAGACGAAGCAAGTTTGAGGAGGTCTCCTTCATCTTTCCGAATGCTCCAAATATCCCAATCTCCCTGGTTCGTGACCAACCATCGATCCTTCGCAGATGCTGCGGCGCAAACACAGCATGAATGCTAATACACAACTTAGAACATGGGCATGAGTATGCCAGGATGGTACGATATCAAAGAGCTGGGTAATCTGGATGGCCGCAGCGAGGATGAAGAAGGCATCATCCAATCTCAGAAGTACTTCCATTCGCTCATCGACCAGGAGGTTTCGAAAGGCATAGCTGCAAACCGCATAGTGATCGGAGGCTTCTCGCAGGGTGGCGCAATGTCCATACTTTCAGGAGTAACATACAAGGAGCAGCTGGGAGGCATTTTTGGCTTGAGCTGCTACTTGCTCTTGCAGAACAAGATCAAGGACATGATTCCAACCAGCAACCCGAACCAAAACACCCCCATCTTTATGGGCCACGGCGATGCAGACCAAGTGGTCGCACACAAATGGGGAAAGAAGAGTGCTGAAGAGCTCGAGAAGCATGGATACAAAGTTGACTTCAGGACCTACAAGTATGTCCTCTACAGCCAGCAGAAGATTGTTTCTAACGAGAATCAGGGGCCTCGTCCACAGCGCCGATCCCGATGAGATTGACCACCTCGAGTCATACCTTAACCAACAAATACCTCCGCTAGACAAAAATTCAGAGTCAAGCGCCTGACTCGCCCACAAATCCGGCTCGAAAGAAGTGACTACGGCACTGGTCATAGTCATTACATTGGTCATTGCTTGGTTTGCGTGGTACAAGAAGCGCGATGTAGAATCAAATCATCCGCGCGATGACACAAAATGACAGGTGCCGGCAGTTTGTATACTTTCGTCTAGACCGCATGTAAATGTGGGTTACTTTACACATTGGGATGTCAGAGATAGATTTTGGTCGCTTGGCAACCATATTCACTCATTGCTATGTTCGCCCTATTGAGATCGATCATACAGTTGTCGCTTGGGTTTTAGTAGCCATACGAGAGTCTGTCGTAAATACTATCAAACCAAACATCTGTTAGTCGCTTCATCCAAGTGGGCCCGGGTTGAAGAGATTTTCCCATTACTTATTTTCGACCTGAAGCTCCACCGCTTTGCAATTGTTTATTGGATCAACATTCCTCAAGTACCAACACTCAAGTGTTATTGTGACTAAATTCTCGAATTTCCATCAAAATCCGATATGGTCTAGTGGCTAGGATTTGCCGCTCTCATCCAGAGTCAGTTCGCCTCACAGCGCCGGCAAGGCCCGGGTTCGATTCCCGGTGTCGGAAAATATCTTTTTTTGACTTTTCGGTATTGTCAAAGAGAAGGTGCTGAGGCAAAGAGCTCACGTGAAGAGTGGTTGCCATCCGAAGGTGTTGTCTGTAGGCAAAGACTATAGAGTCTCGGTGTCGAAAATATACGTTTTTGCCTTTGTTTTCAATTCCCAACCTCTTCTTGGTTTCTTCTTGGTTTCTTCTTCTCCTTCTCTTCTCTATTTTCGAGAGAGAAACTCGTGCTTCTCAGGCCACGCTAACGCCATGTGGAGCACCAAACTCCTTGCCGATAACCTATCTTCGAACAACTAAGATATTAGTGTTTTGGATATGAGATTTTGAATACATATTACGCTATGTGAAGCCAGTATGTAAGCTAATTCCTTATCCTGGATATAGTAGTCTGTGGCGGCATATCGAATATTGTTTGCTCAAAAACACTTTGACTTCCTAGGAAAAATCGTATATAATTCAGTTGTCAAACTTTTCAGGAAGAATGTCGATGTGCAAGGATTGACAGGTATCTGCCATAGGATATGAATTAGGGGGTAACCACCGCAACAACTCTTGATAAATAGTTGCTTACTCACATACACCAGGGGCGTGTATTGAACAACGCATCTATACATGTACGGATGGCGGGATAGGTCCGATAAAGCACTCTGCATGTACACGATGCACACCGCTCCGGGCAGCAAGATCAGGAGTTCATTATTTCTTATTTGCGCAGAGCAGATCGGCTGCCTTTTGCACTGTGAAATTCGTATTCCGGTTCAATCACGCAGTAGCTCGGCGGCCTGAACCAGCCCCAAGATGTTCTTTTTTCAGACCGAGTCATGCACACATACTAGCCAATACCTGAGGGAAAGATTGGTTTGACTATCGGCCACAACTTCGTGCTTAGTTCAATTTTTTAAACAGCATAGCAAGGGCGGTGTACTAGGTCCTGCATTTTGTATGTAAATTCATCGCATGATGTTGTAACAGGTCTATTCTTGTCTGCCCCGGACTCACGGCGCCTCAGGTACAGCCGAGCAGGGGGCGTCAGCAGAATAATGATCTAGAAGCTCTAGCCCCGGTCTAATGTACTACTTGCAGGTAAGCACTCTCTCTCTCTTTCTCAACATGGCCCGCCGCCTCCCTTGTGTCATTCTGTCAGTACCGTCCCGTCTGTCGCCGTCTCGTCTAATAAGTAGCTCCGCCTGTCAAGCTCCCGCCTCAAAAGCTTTGCTCGCCGATAAGAAGAGAATCAGGGGTAGAGTCTTGGTCCAGCCAGCCAATCTGCGCTAAGCGAGTGCTTATTTTGTAGGTACGTAGGGCGGCCCCAATGGATCACCTTCCGTCGTTCGCCTCCAATTGTTTTTGCACAAACTCAATCTAGTTCTGATACGACGGGAGCAGAAGCGATCAACCTGCCCTTTGATTGCGCAAAAATCTATTGGGCACTATAAGCAGCCTTTGTCCCGTTATCTGCAGTATGTAAGTAGTACGATGCCCTTCGTCATCCCGCATAGCGCGTGAGCCTAAAGTGGCAAGCTTGGTCGTTTCACGCACTTTGCCGGCCTTCCGAATTGGCCTGATTGCACCGGTGCCCTATGCGAAATTTCCGAACAAAAAAAGACAGCCCAGTCCTCACAGCCCTAATGTCTGTGCGTTCAGGCACGAGCATCGTATGTGGGATTGACTTTGTGCGCAACAGCCAGTTAGCAGCAAGCAGACCATTCTAGCGCAGAGCCAATGCACACCCTCGATAGCAGCCTTTGTGGAGACACACGAGCCGCCGCAGGGCTACCACCGTCATTGGATGCAGTTCGTTACTCTTTGGGGACCGGGAAATACGAGAGGGGTCTATCATTAAAAGCTCAGTTTCCCGCTTCCAAATGGCTCTTCTTTTCTCTCCATCGGGTCATCAGTACGAACTCATCGCCTTGCACTCGCTTACTCTCGTCATACAAACGAATACCCACTCTTTTAACAAAGTTTGAAATCGAAGAACCTTAATCTTAATCATAATGCGTTTCTCTACTTTCGCTCTTCTCTCCCTGGCCTCCGGTGTCTTTGCCGGAAACTGCGGTCCTCAGAATGGAAACGCAAAGTGCGCTTCGGGCGAGTGTTGTAAGTTTTAGCATAATTCTTCGAAACCATGAGATTATTTACTGACCCATTACTCAGGCTCCCAATACGGCTGGTGCGGAACTACCAACGACCACTGCGACGCCAAGACTTGCCTGAAGAACTTCTCTGGTGCCTCTTCCAAGTGCAACGGCAGCTCTCCCGCCCAGACTTTCCCCGACGGCGTCCCTGAGATTGACGTTTGCGGTCACGCCCAAGGTGGCGTGAGCTGCCCTGGTGCAGGAGCCAACGGTTACTTCTACCGCTGCTGCTCTTCGGCTGGCCACTGCGGACCCAAGAACGACCTTCAGGACCAGAACCTCTACTGCGGTACCGGATGCCAGGCCGGCTTCGGAAAGTGCGATAACGAAAAGGCACCTGCTGAGCCTGCTGGCGAGAAGGGCGTCTCGCAAGCCGGAGAGACTTGCGGTCCTATTGTTAACAAGAAGTGCGCATCTGGTCTTTGCTGCTCTGGATCAAACTTCTGCGGTACTGGCGAGGACTTCTGCGGTGCTGCCAACTGGTGCCAGAGCAAGTGGGGAAAGTGCAACTAATTGTGTTGTTTGAGTAGAGGGATCCGAGAAGCTGCTACGTTGGAATTCTTCAAAGCCTTAGATGAATAGACGAGAGCGTGCCGACGCGAGAAAATGAATACTATGACTTGCATGATATGAACCCAAAGCTACGAACAGTCCCATTTGAATGTCTTATTGCTATGTTTGTGAAGGCGGTGTTTTGAGTATTTCTGTTTGTGTGTTTACTGCTAACCTTCCAACAGCATTATGATGACGGTGTCATGTCCGCCAGTAAAAGAGGCACCTATCTCCCCTCGTCTCAATGTACTATGTGGTAGCGTCTCAGTTTACCGGTCAAAACTTTTAAAAGCCTAGCTCACAATATTGAGAACTGATGCTTTATCTCTCAGTAAGAGACATACGTAGTTAAACGTGAGAGAAGGGGGCAGGACAAGGCCTACGGTTAACGACGGCGAATACAATTGTCCATAGGTGATGCTACGAGCGGCTAAAGAGCCCTCCGTGTAATTTTGCATCAACTGTCAAGCTGGTATAAATGTTGAGCTAATGTTCAATCTAAGCACGTTCTCATGGGGCTTTCCGCCACTACGTCTTCCAGCCGTTGCACGAGACACGATGGCCTAGCTTCCTTAACTTTTCTCTTATTTAATTAATGAAGGAGGCGTTAACGATACTTCTGGGTCCACTTCGTTAGAACAATCCTTTACCACAAGGCTGAGAGGCGCGGTTGCCGAAAAGGCCGTCGAACTGGCGCTGTGAAGTCTCTTTTAAGCAGGAAAATTGTTTCATAAGAAGGGAATGAGCTGATTATATACTTGATATGGAAGAACGCATTAACACGTATAGTGATAGTGGTGGCGGTGCAGCACGCAAGCGCGCGGTTGGAGAATCCCAATATTCATGCCATCCTATGAGGCCCATCGCAACCCTATGTGCGCGAGAACACCACAAAACACCTTCATGCGTTCAATGAGCCGAATAGAAGACCTCAAGTCCATGTGAACAAACGAGAATCTAGACCTTCCTAGAAGGACAAGAGCAACACCCTCCGTTCAACTCATCCTATGCGGCACAGCACGCAACAACCCCACACGTGTGCCAACCACCCCAACCGTGAACAGTGACGAGTGAACGTGACCCAGCTTTTCACCCCCCGCCTTACGAAATCTTTCTCCAAACTACAAATACCCCATAGTCCACCTACCTCGCAGTGTATCAACCACAAACCCCCCTTACACAATGGGAAACACGGTATCAAACTTTGTCCAAAACGCCATCAACGCAGTCAAGAACACGGTTGAAGAAATGTTCCGTCGCATCGCACCACCTATTGTGCGCTACGTGGCCAAGCACCCGCTGCGTACACTCGGTCATATCGGGAGTGCTGCGCTGCTGCTCGTTCCTGGTGTCATTACAACGCCACTGTTGGCTATTGTCGGGTTTTCGGGTAGCGGTGTCGTCGCTGGTAAGGCTGTCATATGTGCCAAACGGTATCAAACAGAAGCTTATAGATGATTGCAGGGTCGCTTGCTGCCGGGGTGCAGTCGGCTATGGGTGCGGTATCTGCGGGAAGTACGTTTGCGGTCTTGCAGTCTGCGGCGGTAAGTATGGATCTGATTTTTGGTGTGGCATGTTGCTGATTAGAACAGATGGGAGGCTATGGTGCGGCCACCGTTGCAGCTGCCGCAGGAGGTACTGCCGTCGCTGCAGAGGCGTTGGGAGCTGCTGCACGTGCGAGGCGTGACTGAAGAGCAAGACACGTATGGTTCCACATGGGAAAATCACATTCTTTTTGAGGTCGCCATGAGAACACTGTAATCATATCGGATGAGTAAGTTCGGGTATGCATACAGGAAGTTCTTCTATTACGTGGATAGAACCTTCGACCTTTAGTCAATGCATGCCGATTCGCTACACATTACAGTTCGTGACACTATGGTCAATCCTGACTTAGAATATATCATGCTATTATACATCATAAAGTTTGTAAAGAAGCGGATTAGAAGAAATCATGAGTCATCATAACACCGACCGACTTAGTTGCCGACCTGAATGGCATAGCCGCCGTCCACAGTGATGGTCTGGCCGTTGAGATACTGACAGCCAACAGCGAATAGGATAGCAGCGGCCATGTCCTGGTCCTTTCCAGGACGCTGGGCAGGAAGACCCTGCTTGTGCTCCTTGGGCATTTCGCTCTTCTGGTTGTCGTCTCGGCTCTCCTGGGTAGTCATCTCCGAAGGGAAAACACCAGGGGCGATCGAGTTGACACGAACTTTGACTACAAGATGTCAGTGAGAACCAAGGCGCATCCAGTGATATGTAAGACTTACTGCCGTTCTTTGCAATCTCAGAGGCAAGCATCTTGTTTAGATGGATGGTGGCGCCCTTGCTGCTATTGTAGGCAAAATGGCCCTGTGAAATGCGGATGTGACCAGAGATGGAGCTGATGTTGATGATGGTTCCGGAGTATCCCTTATGTGTCTCCGTAGCCTTTTCCAGGAGAGGAAGGAAGGCTGTGCTCATAAGGAATGGGCCAACGACATTGGTTTGGTAAACGTCGAGCCACTCCTTTTCGGTAGTGCCATCGAAGAGCTTCTCGACCAGCTCTTCTGAGCTTCCCTTAACTTCAGTCTTTTCCGGCGCAATTCCAGCATTGTTTACTGCTCTTGTTAGAGTCAAGTCCAATAATCAAACCACGGAATCTTACCTAGGATGCATAGACACTTTTCCTTTGACTCAATCTCCTTCTTGATCTTACTATATCCAAGGTCAGCATTTCAATACTCGACATATATGTGAAAACTTACGATACACCCTCTTTCGTGCTGACATCACCGACAATTGGAATGATTTGTCCCGAAATGTTTTGTCCATGTGCCTCAACGACCTTCTCAAGCTTCTCTTCCGTCCTGCCGACAATGTATACCTTGGCACCATTAACAGCCAACGTCTGGGTGATCATGAGTCCGATACCAGAGCCTCCTCCGGTGACCAAGGCGACCTTGTCCTTGACATCAAAGACCTGGCCCATCTCGAGCTCGGGATTATTGGAGGGAGCCATGTTGGAGTATGTGCGTTGCTGAAGTTGCGGTTGAAGTTGATTTGTTATTTGCTTAGTCCGATTGAATGCTCGCATGCAACTCTGGTTTGGAATGAGGGAGGGAGTGAGACGTCGAGGGGCCGAAATTGTAATGTAGCGGGCAAGGCGGTTTGCCATGACGTCACGAACTCGGAGCGACATTGCAGAAAATCTAGATGCAAAAAACAACGGATGTGTCTGAGTGAAGTGACTGGAGTGAGCGAATCAAACAACAACTATCAGTGAGGTGAGGGGAGATGCATGCAAAGAATTGGTCATGATGAAATCACTGGCATGGCAGATCGATCCACACGCGGTATCACGTTCTGACCGCCTAGAGCTGCAGAAGCTCAGGATTTTGCAATATCGAATCTACAAAACAAAACGTCATTCTTCTGACCTTTGTGTGGCATTACAGTTGAGCGACTCACTTACGGTGTAGTTGCATCGCGAAATGATATCCACCTGTTGCATTGCAGTTCAGCATCCTCCCCCTACTCAGCACTTTATGACTAGAGCTTTACTCCAGAAACTCAGCATCAGAATTTGTCTTAATATGAAAGACGACAGGTTCAATGCCACCCATGGATAGGTGATATGGTCGAACTTGTATCTCCAACTATCTGATCGAGGTAGCGCATTTCCCAGAACTGATATGCAAGGAGACGATGTTGACATCGAGATACGAAAAGCCGCTCTGAAAGAGTTGAGGCAATTTTGGAAGAGAAGTAGAGAATTTCCATTCAAACACGGAGTCATCGTCTTCTGCTTTATGATGAATTTGCATGGACTAGCGAGATATCATGCTCATTCCTTCCTCTCAACACGCTCAACGAAGGGTGCGAAAATCCGTCCTTGGATAGCAGTAACCTTTTACATCACTGCTGAGATCAAGGTTACCCGAATCCAGAGCAAACCCTTGCTTTGAGCAAAACATTGCTCATCTCATCGTGCTCACCCCACTCATCACCATGCTTGACGAGGCCAGGGAATACGCAGAAGAGGAATGTGCGGTCCGTCTCCATAGGAGTATCGTCGTCCGTGGTGGAATCAACATCATTGATAGCTTCCATTGTACGATCGTCGAGGCACATTTTCTTGCCTTCACTGCGAAAGAAAAGGAGCTGGTAACGCGCTTTCTGAAGAGCCAGTGTTCGTTGGAAGTCTACAGCATTCTTGAGAATCCCACTTAGTGCTGATTGCGCACTCGAGGTGACGGTAGTGGAAGTTAGGGTAAAGAGCAGATGACAAATATCCCCGAGGATACGATGGAGCAATTCCTCCCGTTCTCTTATAAGGTCAGGTTGTACTCTGCTATTCTCAAGCACTTGTATCGTCGCGCGTTTCCATTCACTATAGGCAGGGCCGCTGCCTTGTACCTCGTCGGCAAAGGACTGAATTGCCGTGAGCGATTTTGGCAGCCCGAAGACTAAAGGTGTTTCAAAAATGGGCATGAGCGAGGTCGAGATAATAGCTTGATATAAGGCAAACTTGTCTGCACCCTGGATACCATTCCTGTATTGAGGATACAGCTTGCAAACTGTTTCTTCGGTTTCTTTAGGTATATTTTCAAGGTTCAGCTTGGTCCGCCTGAGGTTAGAGATCGTCCATTCTCGGACGCGGTTTGCAAGTTCGGACAAGGACACCACAAGGTCGCTGTCGGTAATCTGAGACTGCACACGTGTAAGAGATGATATGCTCGATTTGAGGGCAATGATTTGCTGGAGTCTTTCCTGTGACTCTTTCTCCGCAGCCTGCAAACAAAGTTTCAGATCGCCTACTTGGTCTGGTGATTCTTGCCGGTCGCTGTGTTGTCGAGCACTGTTCGGATACATGAGCTGGTCCTCCAACTGGGCAACCCGGCAACGTAGTTCGTGGTTTTGGCGCACGAGCTCTTCGCTTTCGCGCTGTACGGCGTCATTCATTGTGCTCTCCCAAAGGTTGCTCGAGTCTCTGCGCGCTTTTTCCGTGGCTGAAGGCGACTGGGTATGCTGCTGGCCCGATTCATTAGTGGCATCCTGGCTAGGTGGTGTTGAATCATCGACGTTGGTGGTGGGCTGGCTAGGCCCCGGTGTGCGTCCACTCTGGTGCTTGTGCATATCATTCAAAGGAAATATGCGTCGGCGTGCTTGGTCCTTGGGCACATTGGAAGCAATTCGTGAGGCTTTTGGCGGGGTAGTGGTGTTGTTTAACGTGGACTGTGATTGTGACTGCGACTGCGACTGTGGTTGGCGGTGGTGGGGTTGCAGCCTACCAGAGCTCTTTCGTTCGGTCATAATTGAGACGAAACATGGCGAGTTCAGGACTGCATCGGAATCACCATGATATTCAAGGTTCTGTACAAGGCTGAGACTTGGGATGGTGTCGAGGTGAACTGCCGTCAAGAGACCAACTGACGAGACCCAATCGTGCAGCTTTGGGCCAGCCCACCATGGTTGCCCCTGCAGCTGCTGCATCCGCCATCTTCGTGTACATACCATGACCTACCTAGGCTTCAGCCTGCCACCGCGCTCTACCCCGGGACCCAGATTGTGCAATGATCTCAAGAAAAACCGCTTGATAACGGCGGCGTCTCCTGTACGCGCCGTTGCACCTCAATGAGCTTCTGCTCTCCTCTGGCAGGATTCAGCCCCGCGGACATAGTACCCCACGCGACGCCCACGCCTGTCCTTCGACGCCCATAGCACCGCCACAGCCAGCACGAAGACCGGGGAGCTGAAAATGAAGAGCACATTCCCCAGCAGAGGGAGTAGCATACCCACTACCTTCAACCCGGGCTCCAATGGCAGCGTGGACGCTGGCAGCTTGCCACCGCCCGCCACCCCCCCCAAAGACAGGCTGGTTGTAGGTGTTGACTTCGGGACCACATACAGCGGTAGACACACCCATTACAACCACGGTAATCGTGCCGCCTAATGCGAACCAAGGCTGACCACCGACAGGCGTTGCTGCAGTGTACAGCGCGAATCCTGACGACATTGACATCATCAAGACTTGGCCCGGTGGAAATGGTGAGTTTTTGTGCATCCACGACACCATGTACCTCGAAGAGTTAACACGCGCCCCCAGGTATCACCTCCGACAAGGTCCCTACAGAGATTGGCTACGCCGAACCGGCCCTTGAACGCGACTCTACTGCCTCGCTCAATGCGTTAACCAAGCCCGCGCCGACCATCAAATGGGGCTTCCAGTTCAAGCCAGACGAGACGCGCCTTCGATGTATCAAGCTCTTCCTTGATCGAAATCAGAAGCTTCCGCATTATGTGTCGCCTCTGGACACGGCCGCCCAGCTGCGCAAGCACGGCAAGACAGTTATTGAGGCAGCCACCGACTACCTGTCGCAAATATACAAGCATACCATGGAGACCTTGACCCGGAGATATGGCGAGGCGTTTATTAGTTTGACCAAAGTCGAGTTTGTCCTCACGGTACCTGCTGTGTGGTCAGACGCGGCCAAGGATGCGACTCTGAAGGCTGCCGAAAAGGCTGGCATGGGCAACAGACATGAACTGAAGCTCATATCTGAACCCGAAGCGGCTGCCGTATATACCCTCAAGGCTATTCAACCAAACCACCTCAGGACCGGCGACAACTTTATCGTATGCGATGCTGGAGGCGGCACAGTCGATCTGATTGCCTACAAGATTAATCAACTACACCCTTTGCGTGTTGAAGAGTCGGCTGTTGGAACTGGTGGCCTCTGTGGCTCGACTTTTATCAACTACCGCTTCGAAGAACATGTTAAGCAACGAATTGGAGCAGAGCGGTACACGTGGATGCGCGAGAAAAAGCAAAAGACGTGGAACATGGGCTTAAAGTATTTCGAAGAATTTGTCAAGCGCAACTTCAATGAGGAGGAGCATAGTGAAGTCAACATTCCCTTCCCAGGCCTGCCAGATGACGAAGAGGCGGGGCTGGATTCCGGGTTCCTCGTCATGAGTGCCGAGCAAGTCAAGAGTCTATTTGATCCGGTTATTGAAGAGGTCATACATTTGGTAGAGGGTCAAGTGGAGAGTATACGAGTGAAAGGAGGTCTGGTGTGTGGCATAATTCTCGTTGGAGGATTCGGGCAGAGCAATTACCTCTACAGTCGGATGAAGTCACATTTCAACAGCGCGCCGCCGCCACCATATACCGAGAGGGCAACCCATTACGTCGCTCCGGACGCGGCGCAGTCTATTGAGATATACCAACCCATACATGCATGGACTGCTGTCGTGCGCGGCGCCGTACTGAGAGGTCTAGAGGGCAACATGGTTATCAGCCGACGAAGTCGCTGGCACTACGGCACAAGCTACGCAACTGTTTTTGACGAGTCCAAACACCCCATCTCCGACCGTTATTGGAGTCCGCTATGGGAACGGTGGATGGTGTCTGACCGAATGCAATGGCATATTGCAAAGGTAATACTGCGTTCCCCCCCTTTAGCTACACCACCAGTCCACTAACACTTACCAATTGCAGGGCGCCCAAGTATCCGAATCCCGTCCCATATCTTTTCACTATACACGCAACTTCCGCCCCGGTCAATCTCTCGTTGTAGAAGACGACCTCATTGCCTGCGACGCTGATGTTGCCCCGGACTCTCTTACCAAGGATCTTATCAACGTTTGCACACTCACCACCGACTTGAATACCGTGCCTAAAAGCCTGTTTACCCGCCTGAAAACGACAAAGGGGGTTGAGTTTGATAATCTGGATTTTACCCTTGACATGCGGTGTCAGAGTGCAGGGTTGGTTTTTGAACTCAAGGTCGATGGGGTACGGTATGGGAGTGTTGAAGCAAAGTTTCATTAATGGAGTTGGTGGGGGGGGGAGGGTTAGATATAATATGTAGATAGATGTCACAAATGATGCTGCACATATGTAGCCTTTCTACAAGTATTTTTCTCCTCGTCATTTTATGCAAACTCTCGTTATCGGGCAAAGGTTTTCTTTGAATCATATTTCTCTCTTATTCTTCCATGTTCTCCTCGTCTCCCTCAAAAACTTCTAAGATCTAACGAGAAAGTATACACTACCTTATCATCTCCACCCCCCCTTTATCCCACCACATACACATCTTACATACCCACCCTCGTATCTTACCCTCGTATCTACACCTCGTATCTCCCCTCGTATTCACCCCACCCCCCACGCACAATCTCGATCCCCATCTCCATCTCCATCTCCATCTCGCAAACCAAGTCACGATGAACCCGACCCCACAAAGGTCGGCGAAGTAGCAAATTACTTACTCCAGCGATGTAAACCTACGCACATGACTCTTGCATCCCCTCAATGCCACTAGATACCTGAGTAAGTCGGCTACAATGTCGACTCGTCCCACACACACACACCTATACCCTGCCAGATATACCCGCAGCATCGGGGCTGAAAGTAAATCTCCACACACATACAGATATACGACCCGTATGAAAGGGATACCCCATGTAATTCCAGACACCTCCCCCCTCCCCTCCCCTCCCAGCAAGAGAGTGGGGATAGGGGAATGGGGAGGAGAGGGAGGGGGGGGGAGGTCCGTGTTCAGATGTCGTACATGAAGTATGTTCCACCTTTTTATTTGTCCCCACTCACACCTACTCTACTCACATATACTTTGATACGTACGTACGTACGTAATGTAGAGTGGCTTTCTGATACAACAATACAAGACTAAGGACTAGGGAATTTGTAGGTATTGACTGGGACATGGGGGTTATGGAGGAGACACCGATCAAGGAGATGGGGGAATGGGGTGGTTAGAGCCGAGAGGGTTCTTTTTTTTTGCCAAGATGGTGGTGGCCGGTTGTATGCTTCCTTGGGGGTTTTGGGAGGGTGGGCGGAAGCGGACAGGCGGATTTTTCGCTTTGGGCGTGTGACATCTTCCTTAGTCTAGGGAAGAGAGGGTGTAGGGTGATTTAGGTGAGGAAAGTGTGTGTAAGAGAGAGATGAAAAAGGGAGTGAGGTGGTGGCGTGTATGAGGAGTAGTATACGTGGAAAAAAAATGACCGAAAAGAACAAAAAATTCCTCATATTACTTTTCCTTGGTGTTTCCTTGGTGTTTTAGGTTGTTTTTTATTTTCCTCTTTCGTCTTCGGACCGTTTCTCCAACGTCCTCGTTACACAAATGCCATGGTGGCTCAAAAGAGCATTAGAAAGAAGTACGCAGGGAAGGAAGAGTGGAGACGCAAAGGAAGAAGCAAAAAAATAATAATCGGGAAGGCGCTAATGCAAGTGAAGTGGGTGAAGGAGCAGCGACGGGGCTGATCTGGAGGAAGAAGGGGGGCTGGCTCCACAACCCAGTGTTCCGACTCCGAGTTAGAGGTAAAGACAGAAGAAAAAAAGCTCGGATGACTTGCGGTATTTCGCTCATTTGGTCCTTTTCTCTTTTACCACCCCCACATACCTCTCGCACCCCTCCCTCTCTCCACTTGCCATGGTCCCGCGGACCGGTGGGAGAAACCCCGTATGCACATCATCAGCCGCGGATGCGAGACGAAAACAGATAGGCGGGGACCCATGCTTCAAAGAGATGGGTATGTGAATGCAAATGGTATCGATGGATGGACATATGCAGGTACTCCACACGTGAGTACTTACAAAGACACAAACGCACGAACCAAAGGATTGACGCGCTGCTTGTGTAAGGAGACCAAGGCCTAGATGACGAGATAGTAGCGTGTGTTTTGTCAAACCTTGTATTGCTGTTGGTACGCGCGCGTGGGACCACGCTTGCGCACTGCCTTACCGATCACCGATACGCGCTTGCACCAACCAACGCAAAAGCCTGTCGGGATACGAAGAGAAGGATGTTGAAAGAGAGAGACAGAAAGAAAGTCAGAGATGGTGTTATGGAGAAACAAACGCCGTCATGTATGCCAGGGCGAATAGGTCCGATCGCGCGTCACGGCGCCTGTCAGTTGAGCGGATATGGACGGTCGCATGTTTTGCTTCATGTGTTTGGATTCACATGCGCATTGTTTGTCAGATGCAAGTGGGTTTGTGGCGTGGTTCGGATTTCCTGCCCGGGTCGGATGGAAGGATTGAAAGATTGACGGCTAATGTAAAGCAGAGGGTGGCGTTTGCAGCGTAGTGGAGGCAGGAGCGCATGGCTTTGAGGTCACGCTGCCTTGCTTGCATACGTTGGATAGTGGTTTGGGTGTTTGGAAAAAAAGGTTGGGAGGGAGCTTCATTGGTGTAGAGATTAGACATGCTAAGTAGTGGTTGCATGGCGTTCCGATTTGTTGGGTTTGTGGGATGGAATGATTTTGCGCGCGGTTAAACAGGGCCAAGAGCATGTCACTTCAAGGGGCTAGGATGGGTGAAATTCATTGCATACATAATACGTACCACTACATGATGGATACCGCGCCCTCATCGGCCATGGTGGAGTCTTGACGAGGCGGAACGGGAGGTACGGAGCGCGTCAGGGCGGCTGGCAGGAGACACGGACAGGCGGATCTGACAGGGTTCATGTATGCGGCATGAGACGCGACTTGGTCTCGGAGGAGTGACGTGATGGGTTATCGCGATTGCAGACTTGTTGTTGGTGCGCTGCGTGCTTGAACAGAACGGCGAGGTGATAATGGAGGAGCAATACGTATCCACGTGCATGTGCTTGGTTGGCCTGACGAACAAGGTCGAGGTTGAGAGGGGCACGACTGCGATAGGCGTTGTAACCTTCCATTGCAGGGTCCACGAGCCGATGAACTGTCACACGGTAACGGCCGGCTTTTGTGGCGCTAGTGACGTTGTCATTGTCGATTTGAGTCCAACTCGATGACAGCTTGGTGGTGTGTGCGGCGAGGCCGGAGCGGAGAGCGGAGAGCAAAGACGACGATGGATGGTTGGATGAATGGATGGATGGATGATGAATGGGGGGAAGGGGGGTTGAATGGACAGGGGGGCTGGACTGGATGCACAATCTGGGTCTAACGAGGAGCAAAAACTCACAGACACAGCACACCACTAGGCCGTTTTGGGCACAAGCGTTGCAGGCCTACCAGAAGGACCCAACACGCTGTGCCACCATCATTTGCTGCTGTCCTTGGCACAGTCTTCAGCGAACATGTCGTCCGTCCGCGCATAGGGCTGCATGCTATGACGGCGGCCTATGCACCATCATTAATTACTCTGTGCAAACGGCATCACGAGTCCGTTGCCTAGTAGCTACGAGAACCGCTCAGTCCCGGCTGTGTGCTTCCACGGCCCTTGCACCAGCTTTCTTACACAGTTGCAACACAAGCGCACGCACTTGGCCATGCCAGATACGACTCCTGCATATCCACTACGCTGCGAGCTAGTGATTCGACGCACCCTCTCCACATGCAGATGCAGACCCTTCACCAGTACAGGTCCTCTGGACCCGCTCTGCACCAGGCCCAAGGAAGAGAATCCTGCAGTAGCAACCGACTGGGAATAAGCAAAAAGAGTTGCATCCTTTCGTAACAAAGTCCCATCAAGCCCACAGCTGCTTATCCGCCTAGTCGGAGTCGCTCCGCCTGCTTCACACCCCAAGCTACTTGCAGTAACACGGCCGAGAGGATCATCAGCAACCGAGGCTTTTTTTCCCCTCGACTTCTTTGATAATGCATGATTCACACGATATCACTGATCAGCAGGCGTAGTCTGTAGTCGAAACCCGCTCAAGTGCAAGCGCCTTTTTTTCGGAGCAACGTCGACGGGCCTCCTTCCCGGCTGTGTGGTAGCGGGAAAAGGAAAGAAAAATTCCCACCAAGTCTAGGGAAACGGAGGATATGAGGGAAAAGCAATCTCCGTTCGCCTCCGCACCATCAACCACCAACACGACACAGCAACATGGTCGCGAGCTCCGGAATTTGAAGGATCACGGGCGACTGTGGAGTCGAGCCGACAGCGTCCGTGTGCTCGTCGGCCAAAGAGAGCGTGGAGAAGAGCAATAAAGTGGGCAAAAATAGCTGCTCTACCTTGTCGTTATTGCTAGCTCTCTTTTTTGCAATAACCGAGGGCCCGGGAACCTTGTGCGTAACTATTCCGTCCGTTTGATGAGCCAGCTGCGACAACACTGAAGGGCCTGGGCATCAGTTGTGCAATCTCATCCAATTGCCACTATTCTCTGCTGCAAGCAAGGTTACTCCCCTTCTGTATAGTAATACCGGTTTCGCCCTACGAGACCACATTAAGATTACACTTGGAGCAGAGCCGAGGTAATAGCGCCTTGCTTCATCATCCGTGTTATTATCATACGCAGGTACCGGTGGCGGCGTTGCTGATGCTGATGACGATGACGATGATGATGATTAAAACAGCCTAAACGTCAGTGCTTTCACTTTGCAAATTCTATGCCATGTCCTGCCCACCGCCCGTTTGGCAACAAGTCGGCCCGTGACCCGCACGTCTTGTGTTACAGATGGACAGATGGACATGTGTGCTTCATACGTACACACGTATACCCATACGCCTGATCGATTAGCAGAAAAGGAAGGACGTTAGCCATACATCTAGCCAAATACATGTGACGAATCAAATCATGCCTAGATTCCACTATGCCTCCAACTCCATGGTCGCTAAACGAATACCAATCGTTAGCGTGCGTCGTTGCGCCTCGGATGGCCATCGGTCGTTAGGCTATTAGAAGAAATGTGCTACAGCTCTGATGAGAGAGAAAAAACGTATCCGAAACCGAAGCCACCAACGACCCAATCTGGCACGGATGTGCCTTGTTCTGGTAAGAGAAAAAAGTGGGCGCCGTGGGAGTAAGCTCCGTTCGAAACGTGTTTGGCATGTACGATACGGAGTACATATCTTGGGACCCTTGGAAATCAGCTTATGGGAACTTCGACATCGGACTGCGCACTGACCTGCCATACATCCATCCAACCAAACCATGGAAAGTAACGTATCATTCCCTTGCAGCAGACGATGGCAAAAGTGAAAAAAAACCATGGCCTCATTCATCTGCCGAGGTACTTCTAGCGGTGAAGTAGCGTTAACTTGTATTTGGGTGTCTCCGATTGTATGCGCATGCTACAAGCGTCATACGCGAGCCCCTAACCCTGCCGGGCCAGATGGCGGCGGTCTAATTCGTGCTATTTATACAAAATTTGATAGACTGAAATGCGTACCCGAACTGTCTGATGAGAGCGCTAAACGTGAAAAAAATAATCAAGAGACTGGCCTTGTCAAGCAAATGCTGGATGAACGATGGAAAAACAAATCAACAGTCTATCAAGAACTGCTATGCACCAATGCCATGGGCCTGCCGCAACTGTTGCAGAGCCGTTGGAAAAAGCAGAATAACTGGATCATGTCGGACCCAATCATGCAATCACGCCTTGAAACTCCTTTAATAACCTGCTCTTGTACCAACAAAAGACACGCAGTAGCAAAACTGATCAAGTCTTATGCATCCATTCAATCCTGAAAGAACGGGTCTGAAATATGCGTCTTGTATGTACGTGTGTCTTGGACTCATGGTGTCTGTATTGCGATGAATCTTCGCCAAATTAGTGAGAGTCTCCCCAGAGGTGTAGAAGCGCTTCACGATGCCGAATAGAATTGTGGCAAGCCTGTCTGGGCAAATCCAACCGGGGGTGTTGCCTCTTCTTGTACGCGATCCAAGTGTCCCGGCTCTCCAAACCAATGCGCACTCATCGATCGCGCGGATGAGGGCATTGGCGCACCATGGCTTGGCACCGTGTCGTATGAAGTCCACGTTGGCGGGTAGTAGGAATGATTTGGGGCCACGGGCGCAGAAAGGGGTGCGGGGCCTGAACTGCTCAGTGTGGTCGCATGTATGGTAGAGGGGGTTGTGTCTATCGTTGCTGGAAAAGGATATGGAGAGGTTCGCCGGTAGTTGTCGTTTTGGATGCCCAGACCCTGGCCAGGATATTGCTGTGGAAGACCCTCAATGTTTCCGTAAGACATTGAACGAGACGGTGGCTGGAATGAGGGCTGCTGCCCCCAGTGTCCATCTTGAGGGCCGTAGGACATGGTGGAACTTGTGCTCATGGCAGCTGGAGTGTGTCCACCTGAAACATTGGATTCACTTCCGTATGCAGAGTTTACTGTCGAAGGCGAATGTCGCCATGATGGACTTTCAGCTACGGTAGAAGACGGCAAGAAGCTGTTGGTCGGCGGCCACTGAGTATCTATAGGGGGTGGGTAAGGATAGGAGGGCTGTTGCACGGCTACTGCGGTCGTTAGTGTGTCGTAGAGAGGAGCTGTCGTGTGATACTTACAACCGTTAGAGCCGTGTGCGTGATGTGGATCGTTTTCGAGGTCCATGGGGTAGCCATAGCCCAGAGGTTGCGCCGCTGAAGGCGGCCCTGAGAAAGGCGTCCTGAAGTCGCCCATTGCATCTCCAGAGGCGGAAAGAGGGTGCCTGGGTGAGGTAGAAACCGGTGTGGCTGGCTGCACTGCACTGTTTGATTTGGACGAGATGGATTGCGACTGTGGCATGTCGGCATTGTGCTCTACTGGATAGAAGTTGCATTCCTTCTTCAGTCGAATGCAATTTGAGCAGCGGCCATGACGATCATCGGGTGCTAACAGGCATCGAATCTTGCGCCTTCTGCAATGTCCTGTTTGAACCACCAAGTCAGTTGTCACGATCTTGTTAGCAACAGGAGGCGCTTCATGGACTCACCACATGCAACCGAAGTTCGATGATAGCCCAGCTTATTGCGCGGTTTGTTGCTTGTTGGCGACAGGTCGCCAGGGTTGGCAAGGGCTAGGTGACGCATGTGTGGAGTTGAGGTGGACTTGCGAAGCTCTCCAGAAGCTTTGGTTTTGGGAGAGCGTCTCTTTTTGCTCGCGTTGGTGTGAGGTTGAGCAGTAGGTTCCTGGCTAGTTAGGCTACCTTGGAAGGGCTCGGTTCGTTCTGTGGGGCTGGGTGTGGTGGTAGTGGTCTCGGCGGCATGGGAGTGAGTATTAAACCCAGGAGTTTGGTTCGAGGGGTTGAAGGGCATGGCGTCTTGAACAGGTTGTAAAAGCAACGAGTGTTCGAGTCGAGATACCGTTTTCTTTGCGCGGCGTTCTGTAACTACAGCCATGTGTAATATTGTCGCAAGACCCGAGTGTCAGTGCCCAAAACCTGGTGGCGCATTGAAGGACCTAAGGATATAAGCATCAAATGTTTAAAGTTCAGCAAGGGCCCCACAACAGGAGATTGATGGAAAGGGAGCTAAACGGCGATACATACCTTGAAGGTAGGGCAAAGCGACTTCTCAAACGTTGGAGCCGGCACTACGATCTGGTCTGCGGGAGTAGTTGGCGGGACACTTGCTGATCTACCGAGCCATGGGAATCCTGATCTAATCAATACTTTCGTAAACGCACTGACAGGCCGGGGCCGAGAACGAGGAATAGTCAAGGGCCTGGGCAAATAAAACGACGTGGTAGGAAAGCGAGGACGAAGCAGTTGCGCACTGACACTAATAATAATAATAAGTGACGAGTAGTTTGGCAGTTAGTCGTTTGTACAGCAGCAAGCTGTGCCTCAGCGGGGGTGTATTGAAATGTTCAGAGTAGAGAGGGCGCCAAAAGCAATGGCTGCATACGACCAAGGACGAGTAGGGTCCGCATATAGAAATTTAGACGACGCTGTTTGGTTGAATGCGTGGATGATTAAAAGTGGCGAGGTATGTCGACGACGCTACTACGCGACAGGACAGCTGCGTTAGGGCGCCTTTTTTGCACCAAAGGATTTCACAGGGTTCAACAGCCCTCCTTCCTCACAAGCACAAGATCATCTTTGCGAGGCCAGGTTGCTGTTGGTGGGCCTGCATGAGCCAAGTGATGTGCGGGTATGGATGGAAGGGTGTGAAGACGGACGAGGGCTAGAGTCCAAGCGTCATGACCTGTTGGCTCTCGGACCCCTTTGGACTTGTGTGGTGCTTTGGGACACTCTGCCTGTCATGTCTCGACGGTGTGATGCGATGACAGCCAGCGGTAGCCGCCTAGCGTCAGCGGCGGCGTGATCCACTTGTATTTGCGACGCTTGGAGGGGGGTGCTCAAGCCACGATAATTTCCTACCTAAGTCTAGTGGAGCAAACTATACGATAATGTGTCGTTGGGTCCGATGCTATATAAGGGCCGTATTGATGGCGGCGCACTGCAGGAGCCGTCAATCCGTCAAGCATCATGGACAGGCTACGTGAGGTTAATTTAGAAAGGCTCTGTGCACGCGAACGTTGAGGGAGGGGGAGGGGGAGGGGGGTTAGGCAAATGGTGGTGATGATAGTGGTGATTGAGCTAGCTAGGGCTGGGCTGGGCTGGGGTTGGAGCAGTGGTGTCGGGGATCTCAGATGACGAGGACGAGAGGACGCAGAGCCGGATGGAGACAGGGCCGACGTGCCTTGGGTGCCCACACGAGAGGGACGAAGGGAGCTGACGCAGGCTCCAGGCCGGAGAGTTTGGTTTGCGCAAATGAGAGCATGTGTGGCTCTGGCAAGAGGGTAGTGACGTGACATGGTCGGTAGCGAATGCCCGCTGCGATGATCCCCCGACACTGGCTGGAGGTGTCGAGGCGCTGCAAGGAGCGTGGTCGCAGGGATAAGGCCGACGTGAACTGCTGGCGGCGTCATGGTATGCTAGCGTCTGCGACAAATTGGCTGCGACAGCGCGTCCTTCTCCACATTGTTCATCTCGCTAGCAGGCCCTGGCGAGGGTCGAGTCTTGTCCAGTCGCGTCATGGTGATTAAGGACAGCCAGCGTTTCCACAGCCGGGTTGCACAAGGGCTGGTCCGGGGTGTGGATGTCACTGGCCAAGTCTCGCAAGTGGATAGCAGTACGTGGTGAGGGCCAGTGGTCGATTAATGCGCGCGAGGCCTGACCCGGCGCTGTGGCTATGGTCTTGGTGCATGACCTGCACTCCAATAGCCCGGACGGTAGTCCAAGCCTGGCGATTGCACGTGGGAGTCGCGATCTGATACAAAATCCTTTCGGTCCTTCTGAGGCGTCTCGATTTTTCCCTCGCCATCTGTGCGGCATCTATCGTACCGCCACCAGGTGGGGGGCAAGGGCCATGGTTGGTGAGGCGCGGAGGGTATCGCCTAGGCAGTGCCTGTCTGCTGGCCTCGGACGTCGTGGGATATCTAGTACGTAGCAGCAGCAGCTGGAGCAAGCAGCCAAGCAAGGGCGACGTCGGCGAGCGCCCTGTCCATGTCATGTCGCCTGTTCATGACGGCGGAGCGAGGGCATTGGGTGCTCGAAGCTTTTTTTTTTCTCCTTGCCTTCCTTTGGACCAGGTGTCTGGTATTGCCTTAGTCTAGCTCGTGTGTTGGCTTGCGCAGCTGCAAAGATACAGCAGCACACTAGTGCGGCCATTGTGTGCATTTTGGCTAAATGGTTGTGTAGTTGTATCTGAAACGCTCCGGACTTCAACCGATCGATAGAGAGCCCTGGAAGGAGAGGGTGCACGATCAGTAGGCTGGTGTGGGCGGGGGAGGGGGGAGGGGGCACTCGCAGGCGAGAGGCGCTGTGGCCCCGCTGGTGAACGGCCTCAGTGCAGTTGGCGTTGGTGACCGTGGTGGTGCCTTCCCTTCCACTCCCCTGGCCGCTCGCCGTCCTTGGCCGCTCGCTTAGTCGCGACTTCCGTGCCTTGGGGGTTCGCGACGCGTGCCTGCCAGTCGCAGTTGCAGTTGCAGTTGCAGTAGTAGCAGCGAGAGGCCCATGTGCATGGCATGACATGGCAGGAGCGACCACAGCTCACGCCGCCACACTCTACGTAGTGTACATAGCCTATGTGCTCACTTACTCATTCACTCACTGCCACCATCGAAGCTCGGCCAGTGCCCCCGGGCTGATTGGCTATGGCGTACGTGTCGCTGTCGGCAGCCGTTGCTGCTGCTGCTGCTGCTTTGCAACTGTGCACCGGCACACTGTTCGCAGGCGCTTGTGGGGGCGCCACCATGCTGCCTGCCACGTTCCTTACCCCCCCTCTATCCATCTCCATATACTATACCTACATAGTGTGTACAGTGTCCTTTTTCTATACTACGACGCCTTACTCGGCTCTACTGACTCTCTATAATTAGTAGTGTACTTACACTACTACGGCCATTGCTGCTGCACCGAGCGCCGTCTCGCATCTGCCAGCTGTCATATCCTCTCTCACACCAGCGTCACATCATCAGCTAATCCTTCACCTCGCCCCACGCTCCATCTCGTCCCAATACCTGCTCCTCCATCAGCTCCACGATATGCCTCGGTGACAAGCCCAAAAACAACACAGCCGCCCGGTGCATCAACGACTTGCCACGTGCCACCCTCCCCATTTCTCGCTCTCCAGGCAACCCCAAGCACCCTTCAACCCTTGACCCTGCTCAGCACTTTACAACCAAGCCGATCCCTAGAGTTCGTCATCTAGAAACAGTCATCACGCCAGCCCTGCAGCCATGACCCCAAGTTTGACAGCATAATATCTACACTTGCCTCCACGTTTTACTCCCTCCATGCCTCCTCCTTGCTTATGCTTCGCTTACACTATCCCTGCCTCGCACAACATCGCCCAAACCCTAGCAGCCCTCTGTATTACAAAGACACGGTTTCAGACACACGTCCCCTACATTGGTCCGTCTTGGTACGTATTTACCTCTACATAAACGCAAAGAGTCCGGTAAGCCTAGTATATGCAGGCCCAACCATACCACCCTTCCCCTGAGACTCTGACAACTTTCTCCATGCTCCAATTCCTCCGGCCACCGGCGTGGCGACATGTCTGGCGGTTCATCGTTGCTTGCGGTATATGTAAAAGTAATCATCAGACCGGGGTCTGTCGCCCTAAAACGCTTGGGCCAAACATCCCCAAAGACGGCCAAACCTTGAAGCATGTACTACCGATACGATACATGTCCCCAGTCAGTCGTAACTGTACCTCGCTTGGAAAGTTCCTGTTTGGTTTTGCGTTAAACGCTCATCAGACATGACAACCACGAACCAACTTGCACCCCATACTTGTCGAGTCGCGAAATGACCGACTTTGCATCATTCCGTCCCAATGCACTAATTCGCATATCGCGTATCCGCGTATCCGCGCACATACGTACACGACAAAAAGGCTTACGTGTCTTGGCTTCGCCTATAGTTGAAACTATGGCTTGGAGACATGTGCCACTCTGCCAGGTATACGCTCATTCCAGGACTCTGGAGATCAGCATTCCGCCGGATAGTGTCCGCTTCACCAGAACACAATCGCTGATCTTCAGGAGTCAGTGGCCAAAGTATTGCCTAACCCTAATCGTCCTCATACTCGTTACCCTCCGTCTAAGCGCGCTTCTAAGCTGACCGTTTGCCCAACGTTCGCCCTCGACTAACCGCCCTACGCCCTGCAAATTGTCACATGTCCTATGTAACTATGTATGTTATATATATATATATGTGTGTGTACTTACTTAAGTACAACACTAGCACATACATGCTCATGTAACTATGTACATACAACGGAGCCTTCTCCGTTGTATCCACCTCCAATAGCACCTTGGTCCAACGCCCCACCGTGGCTTGCGTTACAAATAAAGTTTGGTCATCTTGGACAGTAGCTACATACTCTGATGCATGTGGGGGGTTCAGGTCTGCCAAACCGGAAAGGAAAAAAATGTCCAAGCAGCCTCACTTGTCGTTCCTACATACAGAGTACAAGCCGTCGTTGAGCTATGACTCTTCGGCACTTTACTCGACTCCATGCCACTGATAGGGAATTTCGCTTTTGGTCATGCACCACTGTACAATGACATGCAATGACATCGCCTTTTGGCACCGGCGACAACACTAAAGCACCTTAGCTTGTTCATCGCCTTCTCCATGGAATCAGGGTTTACGATAGCCATCCGGCAATTCCCTTTTTGTTCTAACCGTACATATGCACATCTTTGGCTGACTCGGCAGATAGTACCTTGAACCCTGACTCGCCGGCCGGTCAGGGGTCTCAACGAACAATCACAGAAGCATGTGCTTACTTACGGCACTGTCCTACCACACCATACGCTATAACTCTTCTCTCGTCTTATTATAACAAAGCGTATTGCTTGCAACCGGTTCTTGAGGTCGGGTAATTTTTCCGACCTACCGGTAAAGCCTCCGATCCGGGTCCGGGACCTGCGCTGAGGTCGCGGTTGCGTCCAAGTCCCAGAAGTCGCTCCTATTGCTGGAATTGGCATAGCTCATTCATATAGCTAGCCCAGTGCCCTATGTCGTCCATGTGGGTGTCTTACAAGCCCCACAACACCATAATTCTCACTCGGAGCGCTGTTTCCCATCTCCGTTCTCCAATTGCTATAGTCGACGTTCCAATCTGCTCGCCCCATCAGCAAGGCGGAAACTTTCGCAACACCAAAAAGTAAAAAAGAAAAATCTTACAGTAGCATTGTCGGAACGCACTGCTTCCTGAACTCCGGTCAAGAGAATTCGCAAACATTAGTAGTGCGATTGCTATCGTAACCACCGATCTACAACAAACAAGGAAATCAGATGCGGGGGTTCACTAGTTTGTAGTCGGTCACGCCCCTTTGGCTTGGCATCTCGATCGGCAGAACCGCTCATCGCCGGCTCTTTAATACCGGGCGTTGATCCCTATAACCGCTCGTTTTTAAAATGCATAGCGAGTCAAAAAGGAAATACATCCGTCCTGCGACAGGAGGCCGCCGGTGTAATTCCTCAGACCAAGCGAGAAAGCAGAGTACAGTGCATAAAATAAGATTCAATAAAATGTGGTCAGACAACATCTACAGAATAGGCAGAAGTGACATTCCCAACATTGTGGATCGTCCCAAGGGTATCCGCACATAGAGTGTTCGGCCAATACTTAGAGCGAGCCCACAAGGGGGAGGGGACCCCTCGCATAACAAAGTTAATGCAGGGCCACGACGACTCCGACGACGCCAATGACCGCGATGGAAAAGATGCATGCAGAATCTTAGTGCGTGTGTGATTTGTGTGTGTGTCTATGTAGTACAAGATGATACTACTGGAACTTGCGACGGGCCCCACAAAACGCATCACAACTCCAAACGTGCAAGGATGCAAAATAAGCATAAGGGAAGGGGGAGGGGGAGGCAACAGAAAATGTCCGAGAACGAATGCGCGGTCGGCAAGAGAATGAGTGGGGGGTTCGAAGTGTGTTCGCACACCGAGATCACGCAACCTTCGTAAGTTGCTGAGGTAAGTATGACCAAGCATTGATTGCGCTTTTGCTTCCAATGTACTGATGACATGTGAAATGACTTTGTGTTCCGTTACATGGAATGTCATTTTCGTTGTATTTGACCGCCGGTAGGTGAGAGCGGGTAGTAGTATAGCAGCGACATTGCATAATGTGGGCTCTCTCTCTCTCTCTCTCTCTCTCTCT